GTCAATAAATATGTCCTTAACAAATACGTCCGCTCGTTCAAAGGGTCTAAGGGGCAAAGGGGAAGAGACAAACGAGAAACCTGCTTCATATGTGTGTAAGCATACACGCGAACATGTATTTTGTGTTGTGGAAATCAACTTTGTATAGGTATTTTTGGGTATGCTGAATTCTGTTATATATATTCTCAAATATTGTATTTATCCTTGAGTAAGCGTTTGATTTGTTGAATTCGTTTATATAATTTTATGTATGTATGTAATTATGCAGGTGAGTTTGAGTTTTGAACTTGTTAAGTTCGCAGTTAAGGATTTATTAGAAAATATGTGATCCATTATATCTATATGTTGGTATTTTTGGTCACATGCTGAATTTTTTTAAACTCTTGCAACTGACAAGTCGAGCACGCCAAGTGTTTGACAATCTCCTCATCCTTAGTTGCTGAACCAGGAATGAACAAGTCACAACTATTCACGGAAATGAGTGCGAACAATCAAACTTAGTGGAGTGTGTAGACTTGGCGTCCTATCATGCTGTAAGAGACTAACATTTATTCGCTAGGCTGCCCAGCAGCCCTAAAACTACGAGGCGATTGAAGGTGGGTGTTGAACGAAGGAAACACCGATGCAATGCTTTGCCTACTGCATTCATCTAATGCTCTCGGCTTGAGGGCATACGCATTTATGTGTGGCTTTTTAGTGTGTTTGTCGCAATAAATACCTAAGTCCCTGGCAGTACTACTCATGACAACCACCTCAATGCGATTTCCCTAAGTTAGAATGCAAGTAAGGAGAGATTAATATCGATGAAGTAGTAGTATTTCCTATTATCTGTGATGAGAACTCATTTGCCACACTTTTAGCCTCTACGTCGGTGATGTGCACATCTCATGTCACTTATCGTCTCAACCTCTTAGTCTTTCTCTCCACCCTGTATTTAAGACGACTCCACACAGTCTTGTGTTTTTTAATCGTAGGGTAATGTACATCTTCCCAGGTCAGCTTAGGTGTTGCTTTGGTAATGCTATAGGCTAAAATATTACACTCCACTCCCCACTTTACTGTTTGAACACTTCAGCTTTACATCACGGAGGGAAGACATCTACCGCGGATGATCGATGAATTTGTGCAGACACAAAATGCAGCGACTTTTGAGCTCTCAGCAACTCCACCTCTGGCAACTGCTCCAATCTTGCATTCTGTACATCGGTCTGATCAAAGGTGCACGAATTGCAATCGTCATCTAAGTTGGCAGCAGTGCACACAGCAGTGGATTCCACTTCACATCAAACCACATCCCAGATGGCTTGGATGTTCTGCAGAGCAGCTTCAAACTGGACTGCATTAGGCCTGCAAAGAAGTAAAGAAAGTGCATGAACATGCCTTCGCGTTTACTTAAATATGACCATTAAAAGCTATTAGCGTAGGGTGGCGTTCAAGCCAAACTAATTTGCCCATGGCTTTTCGCCAGTCAGTCGCACTTACAGTGACTTCTTCCACTCCGCCCCTGTATAGATAGCTAACCTAAGATAAATCCACTTCATGTTCGGTAAGAGTAGACCGTACCTTGACCATGTGGAATGAGATTGAAAATAGATTTTCGGTAGAGTTTTACGCCCCTACGCGGAAGGTCGGTACTGGTGGTTTCAATGTCACAGAATAGGAGACGCGCTAAAGTCTCACCGACCACCCGAATGACGCGGCAGCAAATGTTAAAAGGGTTCTCCACGCAACTGACATTTGCATTTCATTTACGCAACCAAATCCCAGACAACGTATGGCACAGATTATGGAAGACCAATCGAAAGTCAGGTCTAACCGTAACTCTGTTATAAGCTACTGTTTTGTACGTGGGCTTGGACAAAGATATCGTAGAGCTCACAACTTAAGTAAGCAAAAGAGGATTGCTTCCTATGAGGCCTCGATATTTGAAGGTGTGGTCGGGCTGCCAAAGGCAAATGAAGATCTTCCTATCTCATCCTCACAGTAATTCGTTCATGTTTCCTTCAGTGCACTTTAAATGCATCCAAATGTGACATCAGCCAATTGGAATTGAGGGGGGAAGATTGACAATGAACCACGAATATACAGACTTCTAGGTACCCTAACAGGGAAGTTTGCTTAGCGGAAACATGACCTAGGCAAGCAAAGTAGACAATTTTAATGTTTGCGGAATTGGGTGCGGTCAGTAATCATTGACCAATCGGTAAAGAGCATATGTTACGCATTTGTGGCGTCCAGTTCAGTTAAGTGGATTGCATAGTTGCACACCTACAACACCGATAGGGGGCACTTTAAGTATTCAAACGATCACACTTTGGAGTGTTATTCTACTCCAAATCTTTGCCTTCCAGTGATTGATCAGTCATTAAAGCAGGACCAAAATGTAAACCAACTGGCTCCTTCTAGGCAGTGCATGGAGTGGGGGGCAAGGGCAAGTGACTGATTAGCTGGATCAAGTATCGATTAACTTTGAGGGCGTTGATACATACCATGAGGTCAACATCAATCAGCTGATGGCATTGCGTGTATCGTGACCTGCCCCTACCCTTTGCTTACTCATACACACTGGTGAGGGATACCTGTACCGAAGTCCTGTCAACGAAGGCAGTGTAACAGTTTCAGTGGTCCTCTCTTTCACCTGCGACTTCACACCCCTAAAACGAGCAGACTAGCTAGCTGAGAACGTCTTGTATTGGCTGTTGTTATAAAAGTGCAAAGGAGGTCAAGTCCCATAAGTTCAGAGTTCGCTTCCTGTTTAGGAGCCAAAGTTGTTTGCTCAGTTATGAGGTCCACATATGGTAACTGCTTCTGACCTGAAAGGTACATTCAAACAAACATCTTTTATATTTTCGCCTTATTTTTTCGAACACCGGACCCTGTATTCTTCCCTACAAGTGCTCTTTCCGGAGGTCTTTTTTTTTAGCATGCCAGCCTTAACTTCGTTTCTGACAGGAGGTGTACCTTTGTACGGACGCATTTTGTTGTGACTGACAGTGATTGGGCAAGTAGCTTTGTTGTGGACGAGGTTCACTGTTGATGAAATGACATTCATCACTCGAAATACGTCTTTTTTCCATGGATGGCAAAAGTTACGATGTACTCCAGGTGGTGGAACAGGCCGTATGGTTGTACTAGGTTCCTTCCTCAGTTGCCTGCTTTTCCGTCACTCCTTTCAGAAGGCTTACAACCGTAGCAAAATCTTTAACAAAAAGTCAGTATAATACTCACCTGAGTGGACGGTAGAGGCCATGTCCTCACTTGACTGAATGGACTGCAGTAACCGCCGTCCCATCTGACCAGACAATGTGTCCTTATAAGTTAACTGGGCGTTACAGGAATGGACATTTCTTTGGATTCATAGTCAAGTCGGCGTCTCTTCCTGTGGTCTACCCACAACCGAAGACTTCCAGCCTTCATCTTTACCACAGCAATCAGTGTGAGCATTGATGATTTTTGTGACTTCGTTACCTCGTCTTTGACCATCTCTTCGGCAAGACGTTTCTACTTCTAGCAGATAACGCAGTTTGCGTCTGGATGGCTGCCAAATCGGACTAGACTCGCCAGTGTCTCTCGCATGTTTCACATTACTTGTTCTCCTCAACTTAACACCTCGCCCTGAGAATATATTCACGTACTTAACCAGCAACCTGCAAAATTCTCTACTCCCGACTTAGGTGACGTGGGTAAGGTGTGCGCAAAGGATGTTCGTGGGTATCGCTAAAGCTTAAAATGGGGCATTATAAGTATCGCCAATGTCTTCTTTCAACAAACCAATGACTGGTGCGTAAAGATGGTGTCTACCGCAAAATTCAAAAAGAACTTTGAAACAACGTAGAAAATCTGCGCGAAAACCACGTTACAAGCCAACTTGAATGCATAGGGAATGTCACTTTCCACGTTTCCTTGGTTATGCTGACATGCAACGATATCTCCTCTGCTTCACGTGATCTACTGTACAATAAAGCGATCCTAACAGTGCGATTAAGAGTCGTAAAAGCCTTAAGATTTACTAATGCTTTGGCTGCGCCAAAGTCAAGGAGGAAATTGTACAAACGTCCTTCTACTTTGCCTGGGGCTTGCAAGAATGTATAAGAGCTGTTTGATAGCAATCACGATAGAGAAAAGGAAGGTCCGCCTAATTTCGAGGCATAACAGGGAGAGTCTTGGTATGAGTGCGCTGGATTTCGTCGCCTGTTTTGGTTTCTGTAGAGTGGGGGCGTAAGCAATCCCTGACAATTATTCGTTGAGTGTATTACCAGCTCGCTGAGAGAGAGGGCATCAGTGCTGTGGAACTTCTTGACCACAATAAGTGGGCGAACCTTGTATCCGAACAGGATGGTTATCTGTCCAGAGACTCTGGATTAAAGTGAGCCCCATATACCTCGTTTCGATGAAAGTTGAGAGTTTTTCTCGAATTCTTCCTCAAATTCACCCATATTTTGGTAGCGATAGAACTCTCTTGCAAGTGTCTGCCCCTCCTGATTATAAGAAGTTTGGATAATGTAGCACAGCATTCCTCTAACCCGGTAACCTGGGTTACACCGGCCTCCACGGCGGCCGAGAATACATTCTGGGGGAAGGCACGTAAAATCCAAATGAGTGTCTGACGCTGGGTGTAAGACCAGACACTAAATCCGTTGTTTCTAGACCATCTTTCAAAGGCATGACTGTTATTGAAAAGAAAGAGGCCCACCAGCGTTACTGGTAGGGTAAGAGGCTCGGTGTTCCCCTCCTCCATCTCAGCCTTCACGCCCTTGAAGCAAGCAGAAGAATTAGACAAAGACATAGTTTACCAAGTAATAATAAATAAAAGAACGTAGATACCACGGTCAAGCCTCTTTAAGGCATGTTTTCCCTTGGAGCCAGTAGCGTCCGATCTAGTAAAGAATCCGTATTTGATGATCGACTCTCGCCTAATAGATACATTCGAATACACATGTATTACACAATATTTGGTCAGATAATTAGCCACATGTTTTTATAGCCAGTCAGCCGTTAGTCTGTTTTCAACCCCAAACAACTGCATCAATGCTTGCGAACGCGACGTTACCGTGCAAACGACAAATTGACAGACCACGTATTCAAGTGTGCGCTTAAACGTGACTGGGTAATATTAGGTCTGCTTTGATTCTAACCTTGGATGTAGTGAGTTTAAAGCTAAGACCAATCATTTGTTATCATGAGCTAAACAAACGTATCGATGACACAATGCCCTTTTAGGTGAAACTGCATAGCAGTTGCATAACAGGCTCATCACTTCCAAAAAGCATCAGTTTCTAAAACAAACTTAATTTGTGAAATGTTAGGTAACGTGTTAAATACATAACAATTCCGTGATGATTTCGCACATTTTTTTATCTAATAAAGAGTAGCAACCGCAAGTGGGCGCCACGGATACTCGCTGTAATGAACTATTCTGATGCTTCCTGCTATTTTCTAGATTTGTTCATCCGGATGTGTGTAGATTACTGTTTATCTTTCCCACTTTCCGTTGTCTACTCACGCACACCGAACATTTGAGCACATATCTTTGTTTAGGCATTGGCCATGGGTTAAAGCCCCGTTAGGAAGGACTTATGTCACATATATGCTAAACTCAGGACACTGTAATTGACGGTGCAGTTTCCTGTCAACGGCTTGAGGCACCACACTAATGTTGAAATTATGCAAATGCCAGGACTTCACCAGAATAGGTAGTGATGAGCCTTCTATCCCTCTGTTTCGCAAATTTTTTGTGAAAACTTAAGCGCACTTGGTTTATTTGAGTGTAGAATTTCGTGTCGGCTTCGCTAAATTTCTGCAAAATAATCAGCTTATGGAATCATGACTGAGGCTGCACCATGTTCCTTGCATCAGACACTTTGCGTTGCCTTGTCACTGCATTGCTACTTAACTGATCTCCTCAGCCTCATTTAGGTGCTTATGGCACCTGGACGACTTGCTGTTATCACTGTCGTGTACTATAAAGAGTGCCACAATTTAAATAAACTTCCACCGTTCTCAGCCCAAATAAAAATAATACCGGTGACCAGCATAAGGCTACCTGCTAAAATGAAGCCAAACCCACGTCTTCGTCATTCCGGGGCAGCGGGAAATCGCATGGCCTGGCAAGGCATCAACTCTATAGTTTAGTCAACTTAAGTTGAGGTACATATCCATCGTCTGAGGCAAAAAATAATATTTTGCTAGCAGATAACGGTGTGGAGAAATGGTGCTCGAATTGACAAGTGCTTAATGCTAAATTGCCTTTCATTTTCACGAAAACTGTTTAACTTACGGAGATGCGAATTAAACTACGGTGGTAGCGTAGATTTAAAGGCAGACTAGACAGATTTGTTAACTGCAATGCAAGGATGGACACTCATAAATATCCAGACCTTAAAATTGATGCATTTGTTTTGTTCCATCGGGATCGATCGGTGTGCATGTTATGAAGCGGATGGGAGAAGATTTAGCTCAGCAATGCAGACACTAATGTTTACCAAAAGATGAAATTGCCTCCTTTCTATCAAATGTCGCATATAACCTAGCCACACATTGCACCGCCAAGCATAGCACTCAGAGCGCCGTGGCATATTTACAGAAGGCATTCTGATTTTGTGTGGGTGTACGTGAACGCAATAAAGATGTTTGTTTCAACAAGTAAAAGATGAGTTTTAGATACCTTTAGTAAGAAGTGTTAAGAAACAGCTGCGCGCTCTGAGATTTTTGCACTTATTGTTAAGAAGCACTGACTGGAAGGATTTACTAAAAAGAGAGGTACGCGACTGGATAGGAGATAAGTATTGCTCCTTGATATTTTCAAAGCGGTTCGTCTACATCGTAAATTTTAGAAGAAGTTAGACTGTAGGATTGGCCTTTACTGAGTGCCTGGTGCCTCATAACTCTCTTTTACGAGGTGTTTGATTCTGTTTTTCCAACTGTCACAGCTGCACAAATTGGCCAACCGTGTTCAAGTTGATGAAGATCATCTCCATCAACGTTCACTCCAGCGACATTCACATCTGAGGATAGCAATTTAACCAGGAGTCCTCACTTTGACTAGTGCTATGGGAGGGAGGATGTGTCGGCTTCCAACTACCCAAGGTCGGGCTGTTCTCCACAACATGGAGATTCCGTGCATTACAAGGTGTACCACTCGATGGGTTACCGGCCTAAAGACAGAGGTGTATGGTGAGGGTGAAAATGGGGAAAGGGTGAATGGGGCTACAATTCTACACCATTTCCCATTTTACTACTGCGGATAGGAAAAATTTGGTTGAACAGCAACCTACTACCGGTAGCAAAGTGCCCTCACGGCCCTTTAATGGCACACAGTAGGGAGTGCATTTGTGTATTTACATGAAGGTGAGAGAAGGAGCGTGTGTCGGTTTCGTTACTTGAGGTTGGACGGAATCACTTGTAAATAAAACGCCTTCTAACAGATAGGAGGAGCATGCATTCAAATGACTTAGGCATTCATCATTGCATTGATTGCGCTACAATTGTTCTGTGTGAACTGGTTGGTATAGATATCCGGTGATATGGTTTTGCATAATTTGTTGGTAAGACACTGCGTTAATAACAAAAAAACACAGAAGAAAGGCCGTTATAAACCAGGAGATCCTATGCTCATGAGTTGGCTGTACCCTATTTAGGTCTCCAATCGGACTTCAGAGCATGTCTTTAGTACCGCCGTAATGGTCGAGCATTGGGGGTACCACCAGCCAGTCAACATACTAAAATATTGAGTTCAGGAATGGAAGTGGTGTGGTAAGACGAAAAAACATGTTTAAACCCTACCATAAAACCTGTTTTCAGAGGACGTAAAGTTCGTTTTCTTTTCTGCAAAAGCTTGCATTGTACAACTCGACCAATGAATGTCGCCACCGCCGCTAGAGTTGAGGCACATTCGCCTGCACACTCTATTCTATCCAAGCGGTCAAGAAATGTTACTGGGGTTGCTTCCACACGGGAAATGAGCAGCAGTGACACTAACGTTTGTTGAATAAGGAACTACAAATCAATGCTTAATGGGCGAGGCTTCGATTGGATCATGTGGCTACATCTCTGCTAGCCCAACTATTGGTTGAACTTCAAGAATGCCATGTACTGATTGGTCAAACCTCTTCACGAGTTGTCCAATAGAAATAACGAACTTGGCAGCCATCAAAATGTGACTCGCGTAGCGCCATTCGAACAAAGGAAAGTGCTATAAGGCGATGGATTCAGCGGTTGCAGATCTCGTCTGTGGAGTGTGCAAAAAATTGTGAGTTATTCGCGTAAAAATGACTACTTTTATTGTGGTGTTGACAGGATGTAGGGAAATGGTGTACTGATCTCTAGTTCATTCACCTGAGTAGAAGGGTGGGTGATTCGGCTGAGAGGTTTAGGACGGCTGAACATATTTACATCAAACAGCGTTGCGTGCCATGGGTTTTATTAAGATGTGGAAAAGGCATAGGCGGGTCATTTGCAGAAGTATGTAGGAGGGAGGAAGGAGGAAGAGAAATGTGTCGTGAAATGTCCAAGTGTATAGTAGGGAGTAGTCTTCCCAAAATTCGTATTAGTATAATCCATTGCGACCAGATCAGAGGGGTTGTGAGTCAGCGAAAAGAGGTTTGAGCAGGCAAAGGCACGGATGGGGGTGGGGGTAGGATTACATAGTTATGCTGTTTGATGGAAGTGGAGTCTAGGGAGAATGAGGGTTCTGAGGGGTAAAATAACTAAAAAATGGCTGCGGCCCTCCATGCGCCATTGACGACTGGCTTTCATGGCTTCTTCAACACTGAAATGTAGAGCACGGCATCATTTTCACACTCAGTGAATTACTTTAAAGCGACGACTGTATTTGTAGCCGTTGTTGGGACTGTGGCTGTTAAGAGGTATAATTAACCAGGCTGATGAGCGTTTTGTCTTTTTATGTTATATCGAGAAGGATGAGTGACCCCTACATTCTGCCATGTGGCCACACATTTTGCTTGCGACCTTGTCTGCTGCCACAATCCATGGCCGTGGCAGCCCGTTGCATCTACTGCCATGTGGAGTTTGACGCAGCGAAACTGCGTCCAAACAGCGGTGTTATGACTCGGCTTCGCTTACTCTCCTTGCAACGGGGCAGGAGCAGAAGCAGCAAGTGAAGAATAGAGGAGCAGGCGAGGAGATGTTAATTAAGGAAGGCGGAATAGGCGGAACTCCTCCTTCCTTTATAAATTGCAGCGCCTGTAGTAAGCAGATCCAGCCCAAACTGTTGGCCTTTTGTCATCATTGCCATCGTCAGATCTGTGCGCCATGCACTGAGAGCCACCATAACAGTGTAAGTATCAGTGATTATTAAAATATGTTTTAGCTTGTTCATTTTCCTTGTAAATTGTAGAATGCGTGCCTAAACACAGACCAGTAAGTGATCCATGACTTGATGAACGGCTTTGAATTTGGCTGGAACTTGTGGTAGTTGTGCGCGTGCGGTAGTTTTGCACCCACGCGTAGGCGTGTGATTACCTTGCGCAGTTATTGTATTGTATCGCAATGTATTGTCTAGAAAAAGGGGACTTGGGTGCCTTCACGTTCACACTTGTACTCTTGAAGTGGGCAATTGAGGTTCTGGTAAGATCGAAGGAGTGTGATTGACCGCAGACTAGGACCATTCAACGCTTTTTCGGTTGCTGTGATCCTAAGCTCGCTGTTTATGCCATGAGTTTTCACAAAGTATTAGGTGCGTCAAATCATGCCACATGGGATTACAAATTGAAGAGTTGGTAGCAAATCTGCACATTGCATTTCTGCCTACTTATCTGCTCACCTCCCTTTCCTACATGCAGTACAGGTTAATACTTCGAAAGAGGTTGAATGGCCTATCCTGCCACACAGCGGATTTGAAGTCGCGTGTAGAGGAGCTGAAAGAGTTAAAAGCTTCAGCATTGACAACGAAGGAGAAAACAAAGGACGGGATTGTCGGTGCCATAGAAAACGCAGTGTTTGAGCTGTGTGCGGCCGCGAGCAAAGCACTGGACGCCGCTACAGCAAAAGTGGAGATGGCGGATTTGGCTGGCTTCGGAAATATAGACGAACCCGTCCGTCGAATCACGAACCTTTTGACCAAGATAGACAAGACACAAAATGCCCGCATGTTGCTGGAAGGGATGAAGGTGAGTGGTGTCAGATACTTCACTAAGTATTGCGAATTACCCTTACTGTCTCCCCCAGTTATTCGTGTTTCACCTTTTCTCCGTTCTTGTTGCCCTCCTTCCTTCTTAATCCATATAAATTACTTTATTGTGTTTCCTTTCTCGAGTAGGACTTGAAAGTAGTGGTGGCAATGCAAAAATCACTAAAAGGACTCCTCTTTGATGCCGCGCTATTGAGAGAGATGGTAGAATCACTTCCGTTTCTACCCGTAACACAGATGAATCAATCCGATCGCTTCAGTAAGGTAAGTTTTAAACACACATTCATATGATGCAGCTACGTAAAAGAGATGCTCGAGTTGAATGTTCCTTACGGAGACGATGACGGCTAAATTTTGGACTTCCAATGATGACGACTTGTGATAGTAATGCAGCGTGTAGCTGCAGCTACCGAATCAGGTTACTTTCTATCCCTGGGGTGAATGGTAAAGGCAAATGTAGATTTGCCTTGGTTAGGCACTAAAGTGCCGCTCCCACTACTTCCTTCTCGCAGTGAAACTGTGGACCAAAGGTAGGTGCGACATGGCGAATGTACACCTTCCGTTAACATATTATTGGAGATGTGGAAAGCATTTGTGTAATGAAAGGCAGTTGAGGTTTACTCCTTTCCTTATAACTTGTGGCAAAGTTGTGAGTTGGCCACACCCTGGCAGTGCGAGTGAACGAGAATGAATACTACTAAGAAGCATGCAAAGAGGAGAAAGGGAAGGATGGAGATAAGGTGGATGAATAGATTGGGTTGGGGTAGAAAACACCAAGGGATGTTTGATGCAGTTCGTGTGTGTGCTTCGAAACAGAAATGCCGCTTCGCCTGTCACCACCGTGACAATGTCTCGGGTGAAGCTGTACGTAGGCGGGATGCGGCCCAACCACACGGATAGTCAACTGCGGCAGCACTTTACCCAGTACGGTGCCGTCACTGACTGCTACGTTGTGCGTGACTCTAAAACAGACAAGTCAAGGGGCTACGCCTTCGTGACCTTCAGGGAGGAGGCACACGCAGCTCGTGCATTGGCCGACTGTCCGCAATTTATTGAGGGTGGTCTCGTGAATGTGAAACCCTTTAGAATGAAGATCAAAAAGAAGATGGATGCCAAGTAGGTCGAACTTTTATCTGGATTTGGGACTTTTGGAATCCCTTCTCGGAATCCACATTATCCTGTGGTTGCATTTCCGTATATTCATATCGTTGTTCTATGCCCTTTGGATTAAATGATGAAGACAGAGGTGAAGGGAATGTTGTGGATGTGAAACGAAAAGCACACATTATAAGGAACTTCCCGTCTGCAGGATGTTAGGCAGTTCTTCAGTTCAGCAAGGTTGGGAGTGAATTCGGCAAGTGGCCATGACTGTTGACTGAGATAAGATGGAGAACTCGAATGAAACGAAGATAAAGAGGAAAATGAAGGAGGAAACTAGGCCGCTTTCTACGCCTAAAAGACGGACCTTCTTTTAGCGAGTGCATAAATTATTGCACCAGCCATTTTATTTGGACGGACTGATCGAATAATTTTGGTGCTGACACAATATTGCATGTGGTCCGTTGAATAAAAAATCGTCGGATCCGCAACGAAGTGGTGGGTATTGTGGGCTGATTCATGACCGAAGAACCATGATGTGTATGGCCTGAGGGACTAAGGGAAGGAAGTAATAAATGTTTTCTCTTCATCTGTGGTGGAGTAGTAATAAATTTTTTTTAAGGGACAAGGAGGACGACAAGGTGGGGAAAGAAGGCGAAGATAGTGGCACCGGCGGTAAGCGAGAAGTGGATAAGCTGAGCCTATTCGTTGGTACCCTGAAATCTTCGGCCACAAATTAGGCCTTGAAGGATTACTTCTCTCGCTACGGCAACGTGACAGGTGTAGACTTGATTCTCAAGCGTAAAGGTGGGATGGCAGGAGGCATTGCCTTCGTGAAAATGACCACACCACATGAAGTAGAGGCTATACTGGACGCACGTCCTCATCAACTGAACGGAAAAAGCATCATCGTGCGATCTGCATATTCTCGAGCTTCAAAGTAAGTTGCACTATGATTGCAGCACTCTGAGGTCTGCATTTGTGGATCTAACCACTTTATCCATCTGTTGGTAGAAAAGCAGTGGTTCCCAATGCCGCCAAAACTGATCTTCATTTGGTTGTTCATGATCCTCTGCCTCAAACAAGTAGGAACGTTCGGGAACGCTTTAGCCAATTCGGTGAAATCACCAACGTGAAGGTGAGTCAAGCCGTGCCCATGACTTGCGTAGATTTCTCCACTCCAAAGGCAGTACAAACGGTAGCAGCAGCAGTTAATACTCCACAACCCGGGGATACGATACTCCGCCGCCGTTTGCCACATGTTAACAGATTGAAGCAAGGAAGTGCTTAATTGTTTGCATTTGCTTCCCATACATCCTGCTGCTCGTAATGACGTGGTGCTTTGTTTAAGGACGTATTTTCAGCACCTTTTTTCCGTGTAATGTCTCCCGTTTATTTGCTTTTAAAGTTAAGCCCTTGCCATTTCTGCGAGGGTGGCATTTGCCCAAGTAGATAGATGTGTGATTTATGTCACCTTGAGGATGAATAATAGCAAATCTTTAAGGTGCCTACTTTTGTACACAGTTCCGATGACAAGGGTAAAGTGAATAACAGCGTTCTTCAAGGCAGTGACACTACTAGCCTCAACACTCCAATCCGCGGCTCAATTCGGAGTAACTATCGGAGAGAACAGATGTTTAGAAGAACGGTCGAGAAAAGGTAAGATTCATGTGATTATTGTTTTGCTACGAGTGTGATTGTAATGTTGTAAAGGTGTGGCTTGCTGTGCCTGTTCTATAGCTATCTTGGACAATTTGGATGTTATACGTATCCTTAAAGGATTGAAGAAGGCAAGAGGGAGAGCAAGAAAAAGCGCTTATTTATTGGGTAATGCAATCTGTATATTTCCCTTAGTCTGTCGTTGATGCCTGTCAAATAACGTTCCGCTTTAAGTCCGCACCAGAGGTATGTTTGAAGCTTGTTTCTGACATCTAGTATCTGACGAAAGTCAGCGCTTCGCCATTGTTGCGGGAATGGCATTAGCTTAATTGCATGGAAGAGGCGCAGTTGTGCTTTTTCTGTTAGGCTTGAGTGTTTGTAGGTCTCAGTTGATTTGACTGCTTCTTGTGGTTTCGTACTTCTGTAACTTGTACCATCTAAGGGAGGATGCATGGTTAAACCTTGCAAAGGGTATCATTACGCGTATTATTAGTGACAAAGAGAAGGAAAACAGTAGCCATTTTACTTCAATAACATTCGTAAAACAACTTCTGGACTAAATTTCTAACTGTTTCTAGTCTTATGTATATATATTATTGCGCCACTTCAGGTATAAAAAAGGATGTGTGCTACAATGAACGACCGCAAAGGACCATCACCACCAAAGTCATGCGATCTACCTCACACCATGTCAAGGACCTTCTTTCAATATCCTTCTGCATCTGCAAGCCCTCGTTTTTTTCGCTGCAACGTGCTGAGCTTTAAGTACCTAGGATACCCCAAATCCATCGCACGATCTTGCGTGTACGCATTCACTATTACTGTCACCTTGCATTTTGAATAACAGTGTATGTTGAGGCTCAAGCTCGATGTGTGCTGCAGTCACCGGGAGTGGTGAAAGAGCGTAGCCATTATTGCAGCGTTTGGTTCCATACTGAAACGACGCTCTGGTAGAAATCGACTCGCCACTGGTTTCATGCAAATTGAGAGGATAGCTGTTGCACTTCATGCTACGCGTTGTTTTAACTAATGCATTGGTCCAAATTGCTTGCAACGTCGAACCTGATTTATCTACGACATATGTCTGTGGTAGGATGGGGAGTTTGTGGAAAATTGACGGTGCAGGAGTAGAAAGATTTTGCAGAAATAGAGAAAGGGTTGAACAAAACGTATTTACGAAGTCTAGTTGAAATAGCAATATATTCCAATGTAGGAAGAATGAAAATTGGTTGAGCAGTATCAAGGCGAATCGGTGGTTAATTGCGTCCTATAAAGCGTGTCGTATTTGAAGCATAAATAATAGGACGAAGAAGTTGAGCAGCATTGACAAGAATGCGCGGATACTATACTAAGGCACAAGGAATGAGGAGAGGAGTAGTGGGAAGGTTTTAGTTGAAGTGAATGATAGCATTGACGGCATAACCATCAGGGGAGGATAGGAGAAGAAAAAGTATGCAAAGATGACGAATGCTAAATATATGAAAATTATGGAATAGGTACTGCTTAAAGGAGAAGGGGGGAGGACAGAATTAAGCTAAACGCAAAGGGGAAGGAATGGTGAATGGTGATCAGAGGAAACAGGAGTTATAAGGAAAGGAGGAGGCGGCTAAAATAAGGGGGAGAAGAACTGACAAACACATGTATGAAGGAATGGCGACTGAGTCTCTTCAACTAAATGAATTGAGATGGAGGGAGGGCGAAAAGATGGCAAAGGAGATTTTGAAAGAGATAGAGCAGTAGCACTTAGAGTAGGCGAATAGTGAATTCAGGCTTTGAGGGACAGTAAAAAAGAATTGAAAGAGGGTGAGATGGAAGCGATACTTAAGACAGGTATGTGCCAGCCGTGTTGAATGAAGGCCAAGTGGGAAAGCCTAGGAATGGCAAGTGCACAGATGACAAAATAAAGAACTTGGAGAAGGATGAGCTAAGAGGGGTAGACAGGTGAAGGTTGTGATGATGAATCAAATTGTGCAGGCATCGAAGTGTTAGGAAGAGAGGCTGAAAGGAGGCCAACAGAGAGCATGAGCATGATAACTCAAATCAGAGGATCTAGACACTGAGATGGAAGAAAGAGGAAAAGAGGGAGAGAAGTGGGGGGTGGCGGAGTAGAATTGCGAAGAAATTTGTCCCATTTACAAACATTTCTGGGGGGTCTTTAAGCTCGCTCTTATACACCGAGGTAAACTATAAGTGCACTGATAATTGCTAAATGGACAGAGCCAAGAAGGACATTATAAACAGGCAGGAATAGTCTCAATGTATCTTCACCGACTAATCGGAATTCTTCTGAGCGCATGTCAAAATCCGCCTAACTAGAAGATACCGAAAGTAAAGATTTTTACCTCAAATGCTGCGCTTTAGCCAACGCAAGAAGTACTTTGTTGTGGTTTTAATCAGTTTTATGCGTTTTTGCACTTCGTTAACCGTATTTCTCGTCCCACTTTAACGTCATAAATCACAGTTTTATGGAGATATACTAGTGCCTTTAGGAACATTTTCTCCTCACTTGCATGCTTAGAAAACTGAAAAGCTACATCTGCTTCTAAAAATTAAGTTTTTTGGCCTGAACACCACTTTGAATGCTTCTCTCAGCCAAGCAGTACGAGAGCTCAAAATGCTTCAAAATATAAAAAATTGCACTGTTTCAACTTTGCTCATCATTTGTCGACCCAAGTTCCCAAATACATTAAAATTGGGACTGATATGCTGTGCATAAGTCTATGGGGCCCTGCAGCTCGTCAAACGTAATGATCTGTAACATAACCCACACCAGGTGATACTAAACCGTTCGCTGAAAGGGAAGAAGGGAAGGTCAGTCGAATAGACAGCAGCTTTCGAGATCTGATGGCATGCGATCCGCATTCTGGCTTCGATACACATTTCATGTAATACATGAGCACAAAACTTTCTCATTTATTTTAATGGCCGTTAGCTTAAACGTTTCTCCAAACCACGTTGACGACAAAATTTCAATTTTCTCCAGAAATCATAGAAAAAAAACTACCAAACTTTGGCCATGCATTAGAAGAGAATATAAGTGAGGGTAAGAAACTTTGCAAAAATTCGCCAACTCGTTCTCGTCCTCAGCCAGCTTGACTATTTCTTGTGCAGTTGGTGTTGCTAAGCCACTGTGACACCTGGATGTAGCACGGGTCTAAAGGCGCGGGAAAGCGTGATTGGCTGATACCGGGAAAAACTTTGATATTAACCTTGAATACTGTGTGTTTAAATAAACAGTCAGTATTGCAAGATTTTGGTATGAATTAAGGAATACTACTTTGTTAGGTTTTTATGTAAATAAGTGCGTAAGTGCTAGCCATGACAGGATCTATTAACATTAACACAGTAGCTTTCGCCGCAATTTGTTCGGCATTTTGAGTGATAATCCCAAGATCCTTAAGGGTAATTGTACTTATGTTGATTATCACAACGATGTATGCAGACCTTTAGAAAAAATTCTTGGAATTAAGCTACTCCAATATTCTCCCCATTTTATGCATTTGTTCCTAAAGCCGGCATGGATGGTAGTTTAACGGTTTCATCCTGATTTCTGCTCACTTTTCAGCATTAAAATGATTTTGACTTTTTGATTATTGTGTGCACCTAATTTCTTGATTATAAATTTTTGATGTTACCCATAGAAGAGCACCTTTTTAGCATGCACTCATTGTCAAGGTGCTGCTTTAATCACGAAAGGACGTAGCACCCAAACGTTTTACCTAAGCGTCTCTATTTCCATGAATTGACTCTATCCGCAATGCTTACGTTGTGTAAATCGTCAATGTGCCGCACTGAGTCGTGCAATCATCGAATGCTACTACCGGCAGGAGAGGTGAGGCCATTTTTGTACGTGAATAAATCTTTTTATGTTGTCAACATGTGACATGGGAGTTGCTTTCATATGAGAGAGGGATGGCACTGATACATATGTTTGCAGCTTAGCAAGCGGTACAAGTCCTGGATGAAGTAGTGTAGAAGCAACCCTTCCAGAGCAACTCTTAATTAAACTACAACGACGCACTGCACTGATTGGTTAAACCGTTACAAGAATCGACCGCTACAAAAGGCAAGCATCCTTGCCATTATAATTTGACATGCGTAGCGTCACCCAGCCGCAGCAGGTTCTGACGAGGCGGTGGGTTCTTCTGCCGGCTATTTCATCTGTTAGGTGTGCGCGAAGTTGTAAATTGATTGAGCATAACTATATTTTCGCAGTCCCGACAGGATTCAGGGAAACGGAGTAATACCAAGTGAGACGTTGAAATGAGCAACTGATTTTTTTATTTAATGGCATTTATACACATGAGTAGATGGGTGGGTGATCCAGCTAACAGAGTTTTTACAGACAGGCACGTGTGTTACATCAACGGGCAGGTGAGATGGCGCTATCATAGAGCTAAAGTTGCGGAGATAGTGTAAGCGAAAAGCTCTGAAATTATAGGTAGGAGAGATGAACTAAAATAGCCCATTTGGAAAGGAGTAATGTGAGGAGTTCAATACAATGATGGTTGATGAGACGTGGAGAGAAGAAGGGTATTGTGCAATGAAATATCCAATGGTACGGTGGCGTACAAAGTCTCTCGAGAACTCGTATTGGGACAAACCATTGAGGCTAAACCAGAGGGGTTGCAAGTGCAAAATAGGAGCCGTAGGAGGTCGCAATTACAAATAGGGGTTTGAGAGTAGTTCTGCTTAGTGAAAGTAATGTGTAATGTAATAAAATAAGGGAATGGAGGTATAAATATCCGCAAATTAGTGGTGAATTGGCTAAATGTCTTGCTTAGTGGTTCAGTAATGTTACTCTTGCATTATCTCTCCTGATGGGTTCCTTTAAAGTGGTGACTCTGGCCTTAAAAAGGAAAAATAATCAGGTTGTTAAACGTTTAATTTACATCAACCCTTGTGAGTTTAATTTCATGGCCACCTTAGTAGAAGTGATGGAGAGGGGCACTATCCTGTGTAAGGACGAGGTGAACTTGTCGATTCCATTGTACAGCCGTGCAGACGCAATTTCTACTTGACCATGATATTACGGTTCATCCATCACCGAATGAAGTTTCCTAAAATGCACCGGCGAAACTAGGCGCTCTTTTAACATGCTACACAATCTGTCAGGGGCAAAATTAGTCCAAACTGTTGGTTCTTTGTCACCATTGTCACCGCCAGGTGTGTGTGCAGTGCCCTGAGAAATACTGCAACTGTGTAAGCATTAGTGGTTTTTAATTTGTAATGCAAGTTATTTATTTGCCTTGTAAATTCTGCAAAACCTGCTTAAGCACGAGTCAATGAGTGGCTCATGACATGATGTACACAGCTGAACTTGACAGGCACCTGGGCGGTATTCAATTGCCGTGTGCGGTATTTGCGTTGAGGTAGGAATCTTGAGTACTTTCTTGCTTACTCTTGTTCTGTCGAGCTGACGGATCGAAGTAGTGCCGGCAGTTAAAGAAGTATGATTGACTGTTAATTATTGTAAGCTTAAGTGGGTTCAGCTAGTTTTAAGTATCACAGTAACGTTTGAGTTGAAGCTGTACGTGTGCAGGTTTAGACCCAACCTCACAGAGGGACAGCTGAGACAACAGTTAGACCTGTACGGTGCCGTCATCGAATCTGCCGCATTGTGAGGGACTGCATAACAGACGAGTTGAGAAGCTTTACCTTCTTGACTCACCAAGATTTGTTGCAGTCAGATCGTGCGCTGACTGACTGTCCGCACTCTACCGAGGGTGGCCATGTACAGGTAGGGCCCTTCAAGCTGAAGACGAAGAAGAAGGAGGAATGAGGTCGACTGCTCGGCTAAGTGATTTATATACTATCTAAAATGCGGACATAGAGAGTTTGTTCTCTGAGTCTTAATAGTGATCTAGTTTAGTTTTGGTGTCGCCAAATCCCTACCCTGTGGATGTGTGGATAATTTGTTCTCTTCCATTTGGCTTAAACGACGAAAGCACAGAGGTGAAGGGAGGGTTGTGGAGGAGAAATAAAAGCATTCTGCAAGGGGTCTTCGGTGCTCAAGATGTTGGGGAGTATTGCAGTTCAACTAGATTAGCAACTATTTAAACAAATGGATGGAAATGTCAGCTGACGTGTGTTTGAGAACTTGAAAGAAATGAAGAAGAAAGAGAGAAGGAGAAAAATGGAGTTGGACAGTATTTCGCATCTAAAATGCGGACTTCATTTCACCCGATGTTTGTAATTTGTGGCTGTAACAAGTGCTTGAATGGTTGCACTACCCATTTCTTTGGGCGAATGATAGGGTGATTGTGTTGATGGCATAATGCTGAACGTAGTCAGTCGACCAGAAGACCGCCAATTCCGCAATAACTGTGGGTTGAATCATGAGTGGGAAGACATGGTATGTGAGGCTAGAGGCATGAGAGCAGGAAAGCAATGATAGACATCTGGCCATCTATGGGTGAGGCATCAATGTATTCATTTCGGGTTCGAGGAAGACGAGAAGGGGGAGAGTAACCACAATCTTTAACATATGAGTGAGATGCTACGGAGCATTGCTTCGTGAGCACAACCACACCTCAGGAAGTGAAGGCTGTTCTTTAGGTGCGTTCTCGTCACTTGAGTGGGGAAAGCATCGTTGTGATACCTGCATATTCGTAGACTTCGAAATGGGTTGCCGTAGATAAGATGAAGTATGGCTGCATTAAATTCTGTATGTGAGTGGATGCAACGTACTGTCAAGAGCCTGGCTTGTGATAGCATACAGGCTCGCAAGCAAGTGTATCCACATGGCACAGTGGAGGCGACAAGTTCACTGTTGCCCTCCATCCCATCTGCAATTGCGATTTTGAACTCCACCCGTTTGATCACACTTTCGTGTCCTCATACGAATTTTACGAATGCTCTCGAGAATTTCATTGCACAATTTTCGTACTCATTCCTCCCTCTCTCCCTCAATCCCTCATTTGCAGTACTAGCAACCGTCATTGTGTCGATTTATCTGCATATCTCACATCCATTTTAGTTATTCCATTGCACCGCTCCTATTTACAACTTCAGTGGGTGAGTCTTCTACAACCCTTCCATACTGTAAATCCAAGATAGGAGGCTCTATCTCACCTGACTGTTGATGCGAACAACATATCTGTCGGTGCAAGGTCTCTCATTTGTATCACCCACCCATCTGCTCAGTTGAATAAATGCCAGTGAAATAATGGCAAGTGACCCATTTTAGCGTCATGATCGATGTTATTCCATTTCCCGCATCTCGTCATTGACACCGTGAAAGGCCACCTTTGAGCAAATGACTAAAAAGTTTGATCACACCGTGAATACAAAATAAGCCTGTTAAATGTATTGCTTCATCGCACTCCCTTCCAGTCAAATGACAGTATATGTGTGTCGTATTTAGGGACTAATCTTGGTTGGGGCCACTTCGCTACTTCTATTGGTCAATCCTCGTGATAGTTTGACAAATCAACACAAAACATTGTTAAGGTTCAGCCAGTGGACATTCTTGCAGTTGTGTCGCTTTGGTTCTCGGTGAGTCCAGCTAATAAAGAACTGATTTGTAAGTCCTTGCTTGGCAGAAACTAGCATTAATGCTGCTCCTTTTTCGTACGTAAACTTTTCTGATGTCAAGTTTGCGTAACTAGAGTAGGGTAATGTGTGTAGGCGAGTGTGCCTCACCTCCTGCTTCGGTGGCAGTACTCCTTGTCCGTGCACCGTCGGGCACCCCTTTGCTAATTCACACAATGCATGCTTACAGGGATGCCATATGCAATTTTCACCCCCTCAGTAAAGGTATTAGCGTAAGGTCGAATCATGGTTTAGCACCACCAGAAAACCATGCACTTTTCAATATTATAACGTGCTGACTCTAATGGAATCCTAAATGTTTGTTCGTGCTCTAGAGCCTAAAAAAATTAGGCCCTGGCTGGTAACAGCAGATTTATGAGTAGAGAATTTTCTAGGTTGTAGCGATTGGCTGCTAGTTTTTCGGTGATTAAAAGAACATTTTGCTAATGATAGCAGACAGTACCCATCCACATGACATTTATGCTTACTTCTTAATATAGAACACTTTGGGCACAATAAATACTATGATAGGTGCCTCCTCCACTTTACCGTGATTTTTCCATACCTGTTTGAAGGTGGTTAGTAATGTTTGATGCCATCCACTTCAAACTGATAACACAGGCATACACAGGTATACAAATACTTTCTTTGATGCTGTTACAGGATAGTGAGAGCACTTTTCCCATTGTTGTGGGTCGGTGTTTAATCAAACTTTGTGTAAATCTGTGAAATATGGGGGGGGGGGCATTTTGCACGGGAAATTGTGTAGAATAGTGGTTCCATGAACCCACCTCGCATTTTCTCTCACATTGTACGCTTCTGCTTTTTAATTAGCTTTAATGTGAATGGCACACCTACTGACTCAAGATTTCTTTATTGTCTGATCTTAGGCAGCTGAGAGCTAATGGATCCTCCCTCCCACAATACAATTCAGACTGAGGTCTCCTAGTTAAATTGCTATCCTCAAATGTAAATGTCGCTACAGTGAATGTTGATGGAGATAGTCTTCATCGAATTGAGCACGGTTTGCCAATTTGTGCAGTTATGGCAGTTGGGAAGACAAAATTGGACACCTCGTAAAAGGGAGTTATGAGGCACCAGGCACTCATTAAAGGCTAATCCTACAGTCTAACTTCTTCTACAATTAACGACGTCGACGAATCGCTTTAAAGCTATCAAGGAGCAGTACTTATCTCTGTACTCAGTAAACTTTCCGTGCCATTGCTACTTAACAATAAGTGCACAAATCACAGAGCGCGCAGATGTTTCTTCACACTTCTTACAAAAGATACCTAGAACTCGTCTTTTACTAATCATATGAAATCTCTGCGTTACACTTCACTACTCACACCTTTTAGGAAAGGATACTTCTAGTTTTGGCCTAAAACTTGAAACGTGCCCAATAAAGTGACCTAAGTAACGTATTTTATCAGATCTGGGAACAAAACTAAGATGCCTTCTGTAAATCAGCAATAAGATTTTTGAGTTGATTCGCCAATGGGCTCAATGTGTGGCAATGTTATGTATGGTATTCCATTGTAAACAAGTATTTATATCTTTTACCAGAAATTAGTGTTTACTTTGCTGGATCTGCATATTCTTCCATCTGTTTGGTAATATGCGTTGTGGTCGACCCAAGTGGAACAGAAAACACGCATGGGTCTCAAACCCTGGATATCGGTGGGTATCTTTTTTGTATTACAATCAGAAGCTCTGCACAAACTGTCTCCAACCTCACATTACGACTCTAGTTTGATTCACACTGCCCTAAGTTAAACAGTTTTCATGAAAAATGCAGGTCTATTCATTATAAAGCATTGGTCAATTCGGCTGTTATGTCTCCGTCCTGCTATCTGTCAGCGGAACACTTTTGTTTTGTTTTTACCTCAGATAAGAGATACGTAATTTATTTTAGGCTGATGGGGCAAAAAGTTGAATCTTTGCTGCGCCATGCCTTTTCTCAGTTTCCACTGAGTAACGCGGACGCGGATTGGGTTCTGGTTGAGAGACAACCCGATGCTGGTCGAAGATTTTAGCTTTAGTCGATTTGAGAACACTGGTTGTTGATTCGAATAAGGGCACTCAGTATAGTACGTTATGATGAAATGTCCCATATTCGATCACGTACCATAGGCATCCAAATGAACCTTGGGAACTAGGATGGGTAGCAGTGAGTTTAGCCTGTCCCTAGTCCAGCGCCACCCTATCGATCCCTAGCGGATATATAGTAGACATTACCTAAGCTTAGAAATATATTCTACCGATCAGCGTATGTGAGTAATCAGTGAATAAGAGAACGGTCAAAATAATTAAATAGCACACTATGCAAATTTAGGGCATTTTCTATAAAGGTATAAGTAAAATAATCATGCAATCATCAAGCACTTGGCACACAATTCGAAGAAATTACAGTCTTGACAACTATTCGTGCTAATGTCTAAAAATTACGTCATATGTACCTGGAAAAATATCTAAGACCCCGAATCTGTTAGGCTGAAGCTATTTTAAACTCACTGTGTTCTAGGTAATCACTAAAGCAGATCTAATACTAACCAAACACATTTCCGAGCATAGTTAAACGCGTTGTGTTTTGGTGTGTCATTAGCGTGGCAGCATCGGCTCCACTAGCAATGACCAAGTTGTTGGAGAATGAAAACGAATTGAAGACTGGTGACTTCAAGAGCTGGACTTATAAAGTTGGTTTTTGGATTAGATTTGTATCTTTTTGAATGTGTCATTTAGGCGAGAGGTGACCAGTAATTATTCCAACTCGTCATCGACCAGGAAGGGCAGACACTCACCCCAGGGTTCTTCCGTCGTTGCCAAAAAGCGGGCGTAGACGACGAGGAGTACACGAAAAATCCCTGGCTACCAGCGGAGTGGAATGTCTGCGGCCCACCTCCAACTTTGGTTGCTCTTTGGATAACCATCCAAGTTAGACACAGAGTCTGCCCACTTATTATGGTCGAGAAACTCCACATCACAGACCTCAACTCCCCCAGCGGGCTAATAATATTCTGAACAAATAATCGTCAAGGACTGTCAACGGTTTCGCGCTACGACAAGCTCAACAGGGGAACAAATTCCGCACCCCCATATCGAAACTTTTTCATTATGCTCCAAAATTAGGTGAGCCTTCCTTTCCCTATATTGTTCGCTCTCAAACAGCTCCCATGCATTCCTGCAAGCCCCAGGCAAACAAGAAAGACGTTCGTACAGTTTCCTCTTTGACTCTGGCGCGGTCACAGCAGTAGTAGATCTTGAGACTCTTTACGAATATCACAAGATTATGATCGTTTCACTATTTAGCACATTAAATTAGGTAGAAAAAGGGGTGGTAGTAACAGGGGAGACGTCGTTGCATGTCAGCATAGGCAGGAAAACCTAGAAAGTGAAATTTTCCACATATCCAGTGTTGACTTGGAGCATAATTATTGGGGCTGATTTTCTACGTAGTATTGATGTCGCCCTGAATTTTACGAAAGGCACCTCCTTCATCCACTAACAAAATAAGGCCACGACAGTCTTTTCCTCTGCCAGAGAAAGGCGTCGACTATATTTGCAGCATCCCATTCACAGCTGCAGCTATACTCACGGGCAGTCTAGACAGTCCCTGCGCGTAGCATACTCATGCCACCGGCATTAGGAGGGACGAACTTCGTGAGATACTGATCAAGTGCGTGAATATATTTTCATGGCAAGGTGTTAAGCTGGGGAGAACAAACAGGGCGAAACATGCGATAGACACCGACGGAGTTAGACTGATTTGGCAGCCTCCTGGACGCAAACCGCGCCTTCTGCTGGAATAAATAAGCCATAGCGTCCAAGAGATGATCAGAGGCGTGGTCACAGAACCATTAAAATCGCCATGGACCACATCTGCCGCTGTAATAAAGAAGAAGGACTGAGGTCTTTGACTGTGGGTTCCATTGCTTCAGGTGTATGTTTCGTTAGACCCCCTTTACGGATCAAAGTAGTTACCCACGTTAGGCCTAAAATCAATATACTGACAAGTGGAGGTGGCATAAATGGACAGAGAGAAAAGATAGTTTTCATTATCGCTAAACGGCCTTTATGGGTTCTAGTCATTGCTCTTTCGACTCTGCAATGGAGCGTCTACTTTCCAATGCCACGCGGAAATCGCAAAAGTGCAACCCGACCCTAACTGTTCGGTGTTTTTACAATGGTTTGACATTTCAGACATCACCTTATAGCGAGGAAGCTCATAGTGAAAAGGGATTAGCAGGCACCAAATCAGCAGAATGCAATGAAGGAGATTGACTATTCGGTGGCCCGATAATACAAGGAACTGCAACAGTGCAACTTTTCAGGTCAATTAAGTTTAGTACAGTAAATGAAGAGGGCTACATATAGTAATGCAGACGCTGTCTCAGAGACCAGTACTGGCAAAAACAGGAACCGGTTGAAGAAAGACGCAGTGTATCAACTCAAACATCCCTATGGTGTACGAGAGGCTTCTTACATCCTCATTGAACCTGGTGACCCGACGAGTACGAGAATAATAGTCGAAGTTATCCCTAGAGGTTATTATTTGTACTAGGATGATGTAGCTCCTAAACGCTTAATGGTTCTGGTCTCATTGGTACGAAGAGTTCCTCACGAATTACATGAGTAATAGGGGAATGTAACGGAAAGAAAGATGCTAGATGTCTTAAGCAGAAGATACTGTTGGCCTTCGCTCAATCCAGGTGTATTGGAAATCTGTGAAGTCTGCATTATTTGTAGCAGCAACAGGAACAGCTTTAAGAGGCCTCATTTCACAGCGGTTGCATCACTCCAATCTATGTCCGCAGGCTTTCCAGGATAGAGAGTAGGTATTGACATGAATAGGCATGGGTTTTTTACTGATTGCAGCGGAGGAAACCGACATATCCTTGTTGTGGTAGACTTCTTTACGAAAATGGTCGATGCAGAATCCATGAAGGCACAAGACGCTAAAATGACTGCCTCAATTTTATTCAATCGCCAAATTTGTCAACACGAAGTGCCAGAAATGGTGCACACCAATCAAGGCGCTAATTTTGAAAACCAGCTCTTTACTAAACTATGTAAGACCTACAGGATTTCGAAGACACGCATAACACCCGCGCATCCACAAGATAATGGGCAGGTGGGTGAATCGAATCGCACTCTGATGGGACTGCTGGAGGTTTTCGCTAAGGATATGCCACCACAAGAAGGTTTTGTGCCTTAAATGGTGCCTGTTTACCTTTAGGGCTACAGTTCATACGCCAGCTGGCATTTCACCGTTTAAGATACTCACAGGTGGTGAAAAAATAGTACCAACTGACATTTTCTTTCCAAACGGTAAAGTAGCAATTTACAATGTCCCACAATGCGTACTGCGACTGAAAGGTGGGATGAAACATATTCTCAACTTTAAGTAAGAGCATCCACAATTGGGAGGTATACAGGCCTGTTCCGCCACCTGTAGTACATCACACTTTCCGTCATCCGTGGAGGAAAGATGCATTCCTAATGATGAAAGTCATCTCAGTAACGAACTACCTCGTCTGCGGCACAACTGCATACTCACTCAATCACGGTTAATCACAACAAATTGCAACCGTACAAAGGTACATCACCTGTTGGGCACGTAGACGAAGTTTGGATAGTAAGGAATAAGACCGCTGGAAATAGGACTTGTAGGTACCATTCATAGGAGGAAGGACCGGGACTGGCATTCAAATTGCTGAGGGGAATACACAATACACGCTTGTTTGAATATACCTTCTAGGTGAGAAGCGGTCAGTATATATTACTGACCTCGTAACTGAGCGGACGCCGACGGCTCCTTAACAGGAAATGGACCTTGGACCCACGCAACCTCGATTTTCTTTACTCTTTTATGGCAGCAGTCAATATAAGATGTTCTCAGCTAGCCAGTCTGCTCGCTTTAGGAGTGTAAGGTCAGCGGTGGAGGAGAGGAACACTGAACTTGTTACACTACATTTGTTGACAAGACGGCAGTGTGGACATCCCTCATTAGCGTGCATGAGTACGTAAAAGGGTGGGTGTGGTTTGCGGCGTACGCGGCTTCGAAAGTTGGTAGGTTAGATGGGATTGCCGGTGGCAAGGAGTGATCTCCTCATCGCACCCTCATGTTAATCGGTTAGCGTTGACCTCATAGTGAGCATCAACGCCCTTAAAGTGTAACTATACTTAATATTAGCTGATCAGGGATCAGGAGAGGAGGGAGGCTGAACGAGAATGTCAAGTCCCAGAAGACTCGACATTTAGTCATCGAAATCTAGACTTTTAGGGAACTCATTAGTACTGATTTCACAGAAAGAACGCTTTTTTTCTACACATTTATCCCACGTGGCAACGTTCAACACCCTGATGCCAGGAAAAACAAGTTTTGTCCTCCATAAGTAACATTAACAGAGTCAGTGCAACATTTTTAGACTCAAAAGTGGATATTATTCTGTTATTCATATCTACGTCTGCCTGAAACAACTGATCAAGAGAAATAAGTGAAAGCATGCCAAGCAATCTAACCATGCACACAGCCCATTGACAGTTTCCCAAGGTAAAGCAACCAACTGCGGGGGTGGATCATTGAGCAGTTCAATAGTCATCCAATGCGACGCCTACGGCTGAACACCATTAAGGGCTTGACGGTCTATCACACTGCTCCAGCCGCTGCCAGTGCCCCATGTGGCCAACCGAAAAATATATCCTGTCTCCAAAGGCGACGACCCAGAAGGTGAACTCATGTATCAAAACGACTGAAATGTCGATTGTTGGATTTATCCCCTGTAAATCTTTTTCCTGTCATTGCGGTGGGCATATTTTCAACCCCCATTTTAAGAGTTGGTTCAAGGGTTATCTGATCTCATTCACCAGTCACAGCTTCCTCTCATTCATCAAGCTACTTAGCCTTTCCCCAACCTTTCATCGCGTTGTCTCGAATGAGCTATTTGGGTTACATCTTGAGCCTGCTATAATGTTGTGCTGTGATTTGGTATCCCAAATGCACAGATTAGTGACTGATTACGCACTGAAAGTCAGATTATGGGCAGAATAACACTCCAAAGTGGGATCGTTTGACGGTCTAAGGCGTCTCCTACCGATGTCGCAGGTGTGTAACTATGCAATCCACTTAGCTGTACCAGATGTCACAAATGCATGACGGGCTCTGCTTACCTGTTTGTTTACAATTACTGATTACCCAAATCTGCAGCTACCAAAGTTATCTGCTTCGCTTGTCCGTAAGGTCATAGACTTTCCTTCAGTTATCAGTGGCATCTCGTGTCACATATGTACAAAGCAACACAGAGGCGTCGGTGGTGGTTAACTTGCTCCTGAGATAGACCCTTAAGGCTAATCCCTCACGCAGTAATTATGAGAGCTCGTCTAAACTGCCAGTGCTTTGCTTATTTCCCGAGAAATTGTAACTCATCAAAAAATAGCTTGTCAAGTCATCCATTCAGTAGTTTATCAGGTCTGATGCCAGGCCGATACCCATCTCATCAAACCAAACATAAACAGACGGAACTAAGACATGAAGTGTGACAAGATAACTCGCCTGCCTCCTTCACAGCACGAATGCTTAAAAGTTAACTGGAGCCCCTTTAAAAGGATCCTAGCATGCAAAAGTCAAGTCTGATAAACCAAGAGGGTTGACAGTTCCTTGTTTAGAAGTTAACAACAGCTACACCACAAGTTCCATCATTACCAGTGAAAGTGAGGGAGCCCACCTTATTGATGCAGAAATATCTCAGTTTTCCTAAATCATGGAACGCCTCCGCAGTGGCAAAAGCGACAAAGGCTTTGCTCGTTGCTCGATATACCCAAACTTGGCGATTGCACCGAATCAACTAAGGGCTTCGAATATACCTCCACTCCACTCTGCTAGTAACCAACATCTGATCAGTTTGGCCGTCATTAGAAGCAGCTGTTTCTCTACAAATAAACAAGTATGGCGCTTGGATCCATTAAAGCATACCTCAAAGTGCTGCAACGGCAGAACAACTCACTTCAAATCTCGCGAAGATAAAACTTTCATGAGAGTGCTTTCCTAACCGGTTGATGAGAACGTGCCTATAAAACATCCTTCACTCTCTGTGGTGTGGTCATGTTTGCAAAGGCAGTGCGTCGTGGCTTTCCATTCACACCTTCTAGACTCACATCCTTATCTGTAACGTCATCATTGAGAGAGCAGTACTTCTTCAAGGCATGCAGAAAATTAGAAGAGTTCAGATTACTAATGAATAGTCGCAACTTCTTCACTTTTCGCCTGCCACCGAAGCCTTCACCTTCGTCTTCGTCCTCCGCATTCTTGTCCTCTTCATCGCCGAGAGAAACACGTCTTAATTGCGCCTATAGATGGCCAAAAAGCCCTTGCTCCTTTTCTTAGTGAACCGATCATCAGACACTGACCTGATTAATAAACAATAAAGCAGGTAGATTGTTGGATTGCGTATTGGTACTAGGAGCCGCGATAATACGAAGGGGAAGAGAAATACGGACAGTAATTCAGATGATCTGTCTCGCAAATTAGTCTCGTCAGAAAGAGATGGCATTACAGTGAGTATTGCGCCCTTCAGCAAGCTTACCAACCATTATTGAGGAAGTGCGCAGAGTGCTGATTTTGATACGGCTCTGGTATACTAGACTTTCTTTACATCCTCGTAAAAGTCTATGGTTAAATAGATGGTCTCGTTGAGCTTATCGCTCAGATGGTGTGGCAGAAAAGGTCCAAATTCTCTCTAAATGATGAGTCTTCATGATGTCTTAAAGGCGTCTGGTCTTCTAAGGGACTAGTGGTCCTAGGCTCATCACTACAAAGAGTTGCTCTAGAGTTACACGAGTAATTGTATCATGTGGGGAAAAGTGGATGCTAGACGCCTCGAGTAAAAGGTACTGGTGGATTACAATGACCTTAGAGACGCTAAATTTCTGTCTAATCTGCTTTACTTACAGCAGCCCCAAAAGACAGCTATCGCACCACTCCTTCAGCCTATGCTCATTGCATTTCCAGGGGAAAAGGTGGGTATTGGTATCATGGATTCTCTGCCAACTACCCACGGTAATTATCTCAAAAGTAGACAAGGAAGAACTCATAGGTTTGCAAGATTCTGAATCCGTGCTTCGGCTTTCGTCCATCGCTAGACTTGTCAACATGAAGTGCGATCAAGGCGATATTTTCGAAGACCGCCTCTTCGCTAATCTATGAAAAGCCTCTGGGGCTTCCGAGACATACCCTATGTTCGGATAACCGCCAGGTGGTAGACGAATAGAAAGAACGAATTGCACTCTGGTTGGGCAAATAAAGACTTTCTCTAGGGATACGTAAATCCATTGATGGGATTTAAGCCTTAGACGGTGCTTCCTTCTCCACCGTAAGGGCTACAGTCCATATGCCAACCGTCGTCTCACCGCTCAAGATGATCACAGGCCAAAATTTGGAAGTAGCTTCAGACAACTTCTTACCAAACATGGTTGAAAAAGCCTGCAGTGTCCAGCGGTACGTACTAAGACTGAAAAGTAGTTAAGGCAGTCTTGATTTTTAGGAGGGTACAGTTGCGACTGCTATATTGGGTAAAAAATTACAACAGTCAGACTACCCTCTGCTGAGTATGGAATCATGTATATCTACACAGGCCCATATCAGCTATAGTACACTACAAGTTCCATCACCATCTGTGGAGCAAGGATGCATTCCGAGTAAAGAAAAGCCACTTAACCAGCTAACTACCCCGCCTGCAATGTGCAACATTGTGCAAAACTAATCACCATTCATAAAAACAAAGTGTGTGCGTGTAAAGGTGCATATCCAGTTGGATACAAAAATGAAGTTCACATGCTAACGGACGAAAGGAGGAGACTGAAAATGGCAGATGAAGAGGTCACCTTTAAGTGTAGCGGCGGAAACGGTGCTCTGAAAGACCAGGGGTCAGTGAAATCGAATGCTGTGACAGAGCGGACGTCACGTGTCTCCGAGTGAGGAGCAAGCTCTGAGCAAGAATAACCCCTGTCACTGTACCTCTTTCACTATGCTGCTTATAAAGAATGTCTCTATCCAATCATTCTACTCGTTTCAAGGAAATGAAGGTCGAGGTGGAAGGGATAGATGTCTAACATTTAGTAACTGTTCAGCTTTTCATAATGTAAGATGAGTGAATTTTCATTATTTAGTTCACGAAGTGAAGAAAACTTTGAATCAGCCAAAATAGAAGCAGAGATTTTGTACCAACCTTAGTTTCTGATCTTCGGATAGTTTTTTTAGAAGAACCGACTATTTTGTGATGGCTGACACAGAAGAATTACCAATAGTGACACCGAAAAAGAATTTTACGTGAGAAATGGCTACAAAGCACAACAATATCAGCTCTACTTGCGCATTCAGTCACATGGTTTTTGCCTTCTTACTTGGTGTTAGTAAATTCCTTTTAAAATGGCACATTTTTTGCGTCATAGGAGATGTTTCAAAGCGGTACCGGATGTCATGATTACAAAATCCTAATAACACTTTGCTAAACTTATCTATGTTTCTTTTATGAGCCACCGTCTAATTCATGGCCAACTATAATTTTTTACCATTGTCCGATTTCACGGCCAACATTTCCAAGATTCATCAACTAAGAAACAAGTTATTCCTCACCATTTGATCAGTTGGACTCATTAAGGTAAACTAATGTAGTTCAATAGGAAGTTCATAAATGTGATTTTGCATACATAAAGTGCTTTTGATGCTAGAAGTTGGCTTAAGGGGAAAATATTGAATTACGACCAGCAAAAACCCGTAAAACACTTGTTTTGACTACAGAAAAGATTGCATTAATCTAAGCACCCGTTCGAGAGAGTTGCATCGAAAGTGCTTGAACCACCCTTATTACTAACCCTCCACTTCACTTACATATTTGTAACAAAGACAGTTATAACCTAGGGTGTTTAAAGACCTTTGAAGGTTAATTCATCTAGTTGAGAGCCAGGTATCACCTCATAATAATATTGAAAAAGGCCTACTAATCAAATAGGTAGTAGCCATACCTTCCATGCACTCAAGTCGAGCCAAACCAGCAATTTCATCTACAAAAATGAGTCTTTCTGACTTTCTTACCATAGTAACTTACACAGCCTCCCAATGTGTGCAGGAAACTCTTCGACTGTGACTTCCAGCCGGATGGGTGGACTAAATGGTACTAAAGGGTAGAAATAAGAAGCTGGTACGCACTGAAAGCACGACCGATACATTTAGGCCAAAGCAAGGCACATGAAGAAAGTAAGATTAAACATTCCGATGTTGGGCAATTATTACTTGAGGTTAGAGAATATTGGGTTGAAATAGCCAGCTGCACCTGTGGCCTTTCTATACAAACCACAAGAAAGGCATCCTCACCTAGTTTAAAATGCTTTAAAGAGTAATGCTCTAAGGGACATAAAAGTGCTTTGCAGTTGTAAATGGCAACTTTGAGAATTAATAAACAATGCCTTCTAGAGTTAAAGAGACTCTGCCTGTATTCTGACAAGGATTAGCAGATCTAAATGAACTGCAAAGCATGAACTTGAAATCCTGCATCCAACTTCAAGGTGAAAGCATTAGTTGAATAGCCTTATAGTGACAGCTTGGGACATTCATGAATGGGCTGGTAATTATGAGTATGCTGGAGGGGTGAAAGTCTCATTTCCTGAAAAAAGGAATAACTTTAGATTTCAAACTACTTCTCCTACTATTTGAACACTGTCATTAGGGACCATCTACTTTTTTGCTAAATGAAATAACATGGAATGTTAGGCAAAATGCGCCCCCGAAATGAAAGAAACAACTTGCAAAAGGAGTTAACGAAATGTCAAATTTACGCTTCTGCTTGGAGCATTCAAATCAAAGCGAAGTCAACTGTAAAGGCGGATAGATTCTGATGCAAAATTAGCGCTACAAAATCTGAAATGGTCTCTTTTCTTTGAATTTAGATTTAAGATGGTTTGCAATAAGGTATGGTAATGAATCCAGGATAGGAATTACCAAAGAGGTGGAAGGAGCTCTATGAACGCGGTCCTGAAAAGTGCTCTAAGGGGCGAAAATGGCAGGAAAGGAGTCACGTTTTAGTGAGGAAAGATAATGTAATAATATATGGTAGGGAAAGTTTAACTGTCCTGAAAATAAGCATTTGTCACACCTGGCTGGAGCACACCAATCAACTCAAAATAAGACTTTGAACCCGAAGGCAGCTTTAAGCATGACAAATATAAAAGTATTCCTTGCAGACAAAATTATATTTTCTTAAAGTGAAATCTCAAATAGCCAGAAAGCATTTGAATCCCCAATGTTTAAAGTTAGCACTAATGGCTGTTCCAGAAAGCCCAAATCATTACTTAAGGTGAGTTTGAGTTAAAGCAGACTACTTTAGGGATAGATGAAGCTAAATTACCTTAATTTTCTCTAATACGGTTCAATCGCGAAGGTGGATAGAGATGGCAGTATAATGAGCTTGTTTTTAAAGGCTGAAAATGCAGACTTTTATACGATAATTTCAAATTTGAACCACTTTAATATTACTATATTGCATTTATACAAGGCAAGACACTAATGATTACATATAGGGATAGTAAAACTGGTATTAGAGAGTAAATGAGTGGATAAACCAAGTTTTTCATTTCGCTGAGAGTAGAGAGGCGATGAGTGTCAAATTTCAGAATACATTTCTGAAGTATGAAAAGCACCTAAATGAGAACACGGTTTTACTGGTGCTGAAATGGTCTGTAGGCCAAATGTCATGACTTTAAAGAACGTGACCAGCATGATAACCAAAAAATTTAACATTTGCAACCGAGCAACCATGGTCACATCAAGATTTTTGGTTGTTAAAGCGGGGTGTACAGCACGTATGAATTGTCCTAAATAGTCATACAACGACAGTGGTGCCAATATGCACCCACTAAAGTGGATGGCAATTTATCCTGATGTTCAAACCGTATGTTTGCAAAAGTCAAGATCATAACCGTCTACTTAAATGATGTATCGTGCTGGTTTGACCTCCACTTCACGTCTAAGAAAGGATGGCAACATTGCAATACCTAATCTCAGGATGAAGACAACCTCGCCAGCTCACTAGGCTCACGTGATTTTTCATGTACATGAATTTAAAACCACCTTATAACTGATTTATTACATCATCTCATGATAACGTGTTAGGTTTTAATGAGATAATTCATGAGCTAGTAAAATTTCTGGGAAACGAAACTTTTGCAATATTTGCATTATAAATTTCAACAGTTATTATACAAGTACCACAACATCTTACCTCCAAAAGTCCTTTTTTATGACTATTTCAATGAATTTGGACGATATTGGCGGAGGAAAATTTACTGACTGTTTTGGACTTGTAAAGTAGTTAAAGAGACCCAATTCTGTTGTCGAAATTAGAACCTCTTCGTAAACCCTCACGACCGGACCAGATACCACGGCGTGGGTCATGCGCGTCACGCTCAGGGGGCATGACAATCAAGGGGGGTGTCTCTAATCTGCTAGTAATCGCCAGGTCATGACATGTTTCGATGTTTTTCTCTATACACATGTTTGTGTCTTTATATGGAAATCGAGATAAAGTATGCGATTTTATGCATTTTTCAATGGGTAGAGTAAAAAAAACTGGAAAAGCCTAATTGAGTGGTAATAAGCCTTCTGATAGTATTTAGAGAGTAGCTGGAACGTAGTTTATTATACAACAGCTCATCGACCATTAGACTGAAGTAGGTCTTAAAGAGAGAGGAAGTAACATCTGACGAACGCAGCCCCTTTGACGTGGAAGAGAGGTGTGTTCAGGAATTCGAGTGAGACAAATGTACCTTTCTTCAATGCTTATTCCATTTGACTTAGTCATCATTTTAGCTGAAGGTGACTCATCAGGCAAAATTAAACCTTTTAAGCTGATATTTTGCACTTTATTCTGAAATATTCAATGCCCGCAAGAATTACTCAAGATTTCAATGACGTGGAAGGCACTTTCATACCACTGAATGCTATGAACTAGCAAAATGTATCCCAAAGTAACCAATTGACTATCTGCTGAGGGCATGTACTTTAATGAATCGATGAATTGGAGATGTGACAGTAAGGAAAAGCACGATTACTGTCATGTTTCTGTAATAATTGCACAGAACTACTCTTCAGCTGAGCAGACCTTACATAAATTATGGAATGCAGAGGTTTCTCTACTGTCATCGTCCGTACAGTAGAGTGAGACAGGTGTAGATTGAAATTCTGGGTAAAATTCCCTAGTAGATTCGAGTTGAGCTGGATTCCTCGAAGGAGCAGCATATAACTTGATGTATATTATGCGATGTGCTGATGCTGAAACGCTAGACAATGCCACCATAGACTGTTGGGTCAATCAATATGGAGCCTCTCAGTACCTATGTAGTGATCACACAGCTAAATTCAAAAGCAGGCATCTAAGGGATCGTACAATTCTCGAAGGATTGACAAAAATGATAACGTGTAATTGGGTAAAGGGGTGAACAGCGCATATTCAGAAGTTGAATGAAATTGCTGCTGTACTAAAGGCAGACTAGAGACTTAGATCAGGGTGTTAGTTATCCCAATAGCCACACCAATCAAGCACAAAGAGACCAAATTCACCCATCTTATTGTGTAAAATGAAAACAGTCAAACAGACATAAAGGGTGGGATCCATTAACAATTGCATTTGTTGCAAAATGTAAGAAATATTTTTTTAAAAACACCAAGATAGAGTCGCCGCAATGCACATTAATGAGGACCGAGATCATAATACAAATTTGGCATAAGCAGCACTTGGATCGTGGTTACAGAGGAAAGTGGAGACCCAGACTGAGTTGATCGAACAGATAATGACGTCGACCAATGAGACAAAAAATTCAGCGATAGTAGCCAATCAAGTGAATCCGAATCGGAATGGACACAATGAACTAGTCGATTATTAAAGGAGTGAGCTTATAAAAGGCCACGCTGAGTCGGATAGTATTGTTTCACAGTAGCGGTTTGAGGGAGCATATGGGTGGCATTTGACGAAGGGCATGGTGAGTCTCAGGAAGTGAAGTAAAATGGTAATAATGCGTAGAATAAGAAGTTTATTGGAAGCAGTCATTCAGGAAAAAATAGCTGCAGACGAGCCATCTTTGAAGAATTATCAATGCTTCGTCCATGAGCTTATGATTACCGGCATCAGGATCACAGCTGATGCAGTCAGTGCGCGAATGTGGAGCTTGGTGACAAGACTGACAGACAAGTGGCAGTGTTGCTATCAATGCTCCGCATTCGCTCACGTGAGAACATCAGATATGAACCCCTATGCTTATCATCCCCTTTCTCCTAACCCAATTTGTCACGCTCTAAGTCACTCACTCTCCCGTCCTGACTCCTTAGGATTGTCTGAAGGCCTTGCAATTGGTATAGGTATTCGTTTTGCACATTTCAATTTGTATCTGTGTCTGTCTGCCAATTCCCGTGCCGGGATCATATAAAACATGAAGTCAGTGAGTGAATGTGGCGCTTGACCATGCTACTGATAGACGCAAATCAGTTGTATCATCAATGCGCCGCACTCACCCACAAGAGACTGCTAGCTCTTGCCCCTTCCCTAGTCAGATTTGAATTCTATGTCTTTCTCCGTCTCCATTTCAGTCTATTTCTCACTTTAGATCTGTGTTACTATCTGACGGCAACACGTATGATATGGGTAATCATTGACTATTTTTCACTTTGTCTGTACATCTAACTACAATTTCATGTGCTGGGACCACAGAAACCATGAATTTAGTGAGCGAAGGTGGCGCTTGGTTATTCTACTGATAGCCAAAAGTCAGTCGTATAATCAACGTGCCGCACTCACTCATGTGGATCTCCTCAATCCTGTGCAAAATCTTATTTTTCCTAGGTTCTCTTATTTTATTCTCAATGTGTTCATGACTCTTTTGCATTCTTTTATATCACTTAACGATTCTTCAGCTTTAGTTTTTGAGATTTATTTCCTAATACTTGGCCTTTCACGCCTTTTGTAAATTTTTTGCTTTCTTATTTTTTGAATGTTAGGCTCCATGCACAGCTGTCTATACTTGGAGTCTTATACCTTATTTGACCATCGACAGGATCGCATGAACCTTAGCGTCCTTCCGTGAGAGTAGCATGGTAATGTTCGTGTCATCCATACTGCTGATCTCCAGCTTCTTTTGCAGACTTACAACTGAGGCAAATCCGAGCGTAAGGAGGAGTCATTATTCCGAACTGATGCTGGAAAAGTTCATCTTAATAAATCAACTATGTAATTAAGTCGTGCTACACCAGCAATTTTACCCTCGGGAAAGAACACTCCGGCTTTTTGCCTCCAAGTAAATCATATGGTTTCCCAGGGCGCGTAAGAATCCCCTCGACTTTAATGCCTAGTCGGTCGAGCGCACTGGCAGGTCTAACGTTATCGTTCTGCGTTTTGAGCCCCTATAAAAACAGGAGACAGAATTTGGCTTAGCCTTCGATTGTTGGGTGTGCTTGGGGGTCCTCTTAGGGAAGAGTTGGCTGCAGCAGAAAGCAAGCTTAAATAGTTTAAAGAAAACATTTGGATGCAGTTTAAAAAGATTATCTTTAGTAATACGTGAATTAGGCCTTTTACTAAGTAAAATATACTGGGCTTAGAAAAATATAAGTTAGCAAAGTCGAAGCGGTTGCCATTCAAATAAGTAGATTTTTACTGATATGCAAGTTTGATTCGTTTGGGAGGAAGGATTTAAAATGGGAGAAGGATAAGAACAATAAATAGTATCATGGTTTGGATATCACCCCATATTATAGAATTGAAGCTTTAAAGTTTGTTATTTGTCAAAAGTGGCTGGTTTTTAGTGCAAATGTTTAGCCATGGGAAAGTTTAGCATAAAAACTCCTTTTTTCCTCTACGATGTATGTCATATAATCACCTTTCAGTATATAACATATCTTTAATCGTAGATTGACAGAGGCAGTTTGTTACAGCAAGTAGATTTAAGATGGATAATGTTATGGAGTAGAAATGGATTTGGGAGTAGTCAGGTATGAGACTAGAAATTTAAATCATATTTACTCTGCTGTTCACGAATTTCTTTTTTATCACTATGTAGAGTTCCTACCATCTCTAGTGACGTTGGAAGTCATATAGGTCCAAAAGTAGTTTCGTTGTACGCACAAAGCAAGGTTGGGAGACTTATGGAACCGATGATATGATTAGAGCATTATGACATTGTCATTGAGGCAGGATCGTGTGAGATTGAAAGTCTGTAAAGTTAAGCATTAAAAGGAATTAGATTTTACTCAGCTATAACTAATTATTAAAGAAAGGTGGATAACTACCCATTTTCAGCTAATAAAGAGGTGTTAACTTTTAACCAAATGTGAAGAACTGCGAATAGAATCCACGCAATTTACAATATGTGCCTAGAATTACCCCTTGAAGTGCAGTGGAGTGATTAAAGAGGACTGATTAGAGGAGGGTGGACACCAAGGCTTCCCTTCAACGGTAGAGTTGCTTCGCTGCGGGGAAGGATTTCTGTAGTTTCTTGCCCAACCAAAATGTAGGTGATATTCTGGAGCATCTCCAAGAACTAAATAGAGATATTTAGAAGAATTTAACGTTAGATTTAAATAAATTTTACGGAACCAAGGTTAAAGCATATATCAAACAGTAGGGAAAAATAAGGTTTATATTGCTGAAAGGAGACCACCTTTAAAAGCTAGACAAAGTAAGTCTTAAAATAAACGGAGCAAGTTTACTTGAAGAGATCTAATAAATACGGTTCTAAGACTGGAAGAGCAAGAAGTGGGTCACAGTAAGTAGGGAGTATGTGCAAAGAGAAAAAAACTGAATTTTGATGATATAAGTACCCACCGAAACTGTCGTCCGGAGCAAGACATACGCAGAACTTAGGATCTAAACCGGGGTTACCCTAGCCATTTATGCCTCTGACTGATTCACATGACGACAATCTCGGCCAAATCAAATGAAGCCTAATGGGGTAATGTTCTGAAGAATCGGAAAATGTATTTCGGTTTCAAAGAGTCACCTTTGAAGGTTAGCAAGCCATGCTTACTAGATTTACAGTGGCTGAAGGTGCATGAACTACTCATGGCTAAAGCTAAAATTCTTCTCCCAATTTAACGGAGAAGCACAATCCAAACCGCATTACAATGGCGGATTAAATCCACCTCAAATGCGTTGAACCAGCAGAAAAAGGCAAAACGTATATCAGCTGAAGTAGATTTAAACGCTCTCTTTTCGAGTCCATTTGAGTGAAATGCAAGAATGTGAGGCATTTGCGTAAATCTTATGTCACATATCACACAGGCGCTCTAGACTTTGTCTTAGTGTCTATTAGTTCCGAATTTCAGAGTGCACAGGTGAAGCATTTGTAGCACCTAAAAGAAAATGCCGTTTTACCAGGGCTGTTGTGGTGAACATGTGAGAAGTCACGATTTCAGAGAATGTGACCAGCACAATGATTAGAGAATTTAACTTTCACGATCGAGCGACCGCTACAGCATCGAATTCTGTAGGTATTGAAATTGGAGCTGCAGTCCATGTGACTTGCCCTAAACGGTCACACGGTCACAGTGGAACTCACACTTCCTAATCGGATACAAATGGTAAATTATCACCTCTTGCATCTAAAATAGATAAATTCTTTAAAATGATTATGATTTGTTGCTCTATTTTGGTATATTTTCCCCTCTATCAGGTATGAAATTAGTAGTAACTCCGATGAATTCGGGATCGAGTCTGGTCTGCATGATGACATATATTTATCAAGCTTGATATCCTTCTAATCAGTTGTCAGAGTCAAGAATAACTTAGATGAAGCCCCCCTTTTTGACCTCTAGTTCGGACCTCAGGGCGGATGACACAGACATTGGCAGCTGTGACATCTTCAGCCCAATAGGTTTACGTGAATTTCCCATTGTTCATGGAGTTGAAAAGATGGTGTAACAGATCCATTCCCACTGTCTTATGATAAAATGTTGAGTCCTCACAAGATCACCGATAGATTAGTGAAGATGCTGCCAAATATAACTTTGAGGGCACTATGTGAAAGAATTTGTACTTATTTCATATGAATCGCTACATCTCCGTACTTAAAAAGCGTCCTTTTTGTTCCATAACCCATCTCAGCCAATCTCGACTTTAGTGGCAGAGAGAGATTTGCTGACCAGATTGAAATCAGTGTTTATTAATTAAAGGAAACCATTTCCGTTGCCAAAATCCGGAACTTTCATCATTACTTTTTCCGGCTAGGCTGGGTGCACTAGTGACCCTTCACAGCTGCAAGTAACACCACGGTATGAGCCATGCGTGTCACGCGCGAGGGTCATGACAATCAGAGGGGTCTCTCTAATCTGTTAGTAATCGCTGGGGTGTTGATTCAACTCCCATCAGGTCATGACATGTTTCGATGTTTTTCTCTATGTACACATTTGTGTCTTTGGAAAGAAGCCGAGATAAGGTATATGGTTCTGCGCATTTTGCGACAAGCAAAGTGGAGGAAATTAGAAAAGACCTATCGAGTGGTAACAAACTGTCTGATGGTTAATATTTAGAGAGTAAATGGAGCATCGTATTGCGAGCGAAAGCTTGTAAACTATTTGGCTGAAGTAGGTCTTAAAGTGTAACAGAAAATTAGTTTCTATATATCGAAGCACCTATGACGTAGAACAGGGCGCGTCCAGACATTAGAGCGTTGGAGCTGGAAGCATAGTGCGTGGAACTTGATCTCAATGATTCCACATTAATAAATCACGGGTAGCCGAAACCGAATCCGACAAAAGTAAGCCATGTAAATTGGCGTTTTATGCTCCCCTCGGCCACATTCAATGCTCGTTGCGATCCCACAGGACATTTTAACGCCTTGGAAAGTGCCCCATGTCGCCAATTGCTGTGGACTAACCAAATGATCTCAAGCTAATTAACCGACTACCTGCTGCGGGCATGAACTTAGCCAGGCCAATGAAGTGGAGATGAGATAGTAAAGCAAAAGCATGATCACTGTCTTAATTCTGTGGCAGTACAGTAACACCATTATCCAGCTGAGCAGACACTGTACAATTTACGGAATACGAAATCTTAGATCTACTCTCACCAGTCGTGCAGCTGAGGGAGGTACTGGCGACGGTACTAATTTCTTCAAACATTAAATCGCCAGTCAGGCAGGCACTTCAACAACCTCTTCTTATTTGCAATAAGTAGGTTTTGTAACTCACAAAGTCGAGCAGACCTGGAAGGACATTATTGTCCTTTGCTGGTTAATCTCGCTTCATCAACTTCCTTGATGCTTCCATGCACACATGAATACCTGCGCATATGCATGTATACTTATGTGTGCGTACATGGGACGCATTCTGAAAATAGGTCGCAGATTCGATCAGAGAGCAGGTTTGTTTTAGCGCAGGTTATGGTTTTGTCAGTTTCAGAATAGGACCCAGAATTCTATCCATTCCTGTAAAGAGCAACATATGCCTTAGTGTATACACATAATGTGACCATGACGGAACGATAGGCATGCCCACCGTAGAATGTTGGGTCAAACAATAAGGTGTCTCACAGTACCTTAGAGTGCCACAACAATTTCTCATGCAACTACAAAACGATCGCAAACCGATTTTTAGGGCAAGTATTTACGGTTTCTATGCAGTGCTCTAAGGATCGGTGTAAAAGATGCCATCTAGCTGGGTAAACGAAGGCAGTAGTGTAAGAAAAGACTTTGATTTGAATTATTGTTGTGCTAGGGGCAGACGAAAGATTTCGACTGGGAAGTTAAATATCTTGAAAGCCACGTCAGTCAAGCATAAAGCGACCAAATTCACCCGTCTCATTACATAATTTGGAAATCGTCGAACAGAAAAGAAGACGGGACTCGTAAACAATTGCATTTGTTGCAAAACGCAGGAAACATTTGGAAAAAAACGTGAACCGCTCGATGTTTTGTGAAAATACTAAGGTTGAATCAGTGCAATGCACATTAAAGGAAATCGAGTTAATGATGCAAATTTGGCATAAGCACCACCCGGATCGTGGTTGCAGAGGAAAAAGGGGACCCCAGGTGAGTTGATGGAACAGACAATGGCATCGACCAATGAGACAAAACATTTAGCGATAGTAACCAATCAAGTGAAGCCGAATCGAAGTGGAGACAACGAACTAATTGATTATTGGAGGAGTGAGCTTATAAAAGACCGCATCTAGTGGAAGGTATTATCATGCAGTCGCTTTTTGCGGGATAGGCGAGGTCGTAATCGACGGCAGGTTCGGAGGGACACTAAAGACTACCTAGGTGATTCCGTTTTTATGTAGGAGGATGTGGCGCTTTCTAACTTTACTGATAGTGATTTATCAGTAAAGTCATAAATGCACCTCATTCCCTTACGTGAGACAACCAGATTCTACCCACTTCCGATACATTGGTTGACATTCGTAATCATTCCTTGCTGTCCACTCCGCTCTTGGCTCTGTCTACCACTTCTCGAGCTGAGACCACAACAACTGTGAAGTCAGTAAGCGAATGTGGCGCTTAATGTCATCACGGATAGACATGTGTCAGTGGTGTCATCGAAGAGCCAAACTCGCTTACATGGTACACCTGGATCATGTAATTTTCCTTCCAACTTATTACGTTATGTTCAAAGCATTGTTGCACACTTCTTCGAAAGCCGACCCGCAACTCCTGACAATCTACTCTGCTCTATTTTTCTTCCATTCCTAGTGCTCCTCTTTTTTTATTTCTTTTTAAGCATGGATTTAAGCTCCACTTTTCTAGCCCTGAGTTCCATTCTCTTTCTAAGTGTTATGAGCTTTGTCACTTTCATCTAAATAGAGCTTGGATATTCTATTTGGTTGATTAATCTTTCGCCTCCATTGAAGTGTTTTATTGAGTAATTCCTTCTTCACTTATTTTCGTTGCTTGTTTAGGACGCAAATAGGACAATTTTATGATCATCTCGCAGATTTGTTGATGTTTTATGGACTTCTTCTTAAGCACATTATTGCTCCACAGCTGCCGAATTGTTCTGGTATACGTCATTTTGCTCCCTTTGTATTTCAAAACACTTGGTATTTATGTGAATAAATTTACTCATTTGTAATGTCTTCCTATTTCAAACAAGTAATTTTGTCCACTTTATTTTCATCAACGCATATTTTTCGCAGTGCTAGATTATTATTTTCTTGTACGAATGAAGGAGAGCTAGTAGGAGTCCACCTTGCCAGCTACCGTGGCTCATTTTCATGCGTTGAATGTTTTCAGTCCTCGCTGCCTGACAACTCACATTTTAGGCTGGGCGGATGACAATGAGAATGGAGCCTGCCTTTTCCTGAATACTTAATAGATCTGTCCACTGCAGTTAAATCGCATAAATCGAGCTTTGCCATAAGGTTTTCGGTTAATAGCTACTGCTGGTGCCAACACCGATGCGCCTAGAAACTGCAGTCGTTCGGCCGGCTGTCGTATATTCAATAAAGTCGGTATATTGGATTCGTTAGCTCAACAAACTACCGCCTTTGTTCTAACAAGTGCTTGAGCCCACTGTTTACGAAATGGAAATACCAGAAATATGACAGCGCTTACATAATTATTTCCCACTCCTTCATGATATCAGCTAGATTTACTTCTAATTTCCTTTGTTTCTGTCTTCATGCGTCCTTTGGTACCTTTTCGATTCCAAAATTTTGTTATAAAAATTCCGTGTGTTATTCCTTCTACGCCCATTTTAAATTCCTGGAGCTTGAATGTTACTCACTCAGTGCCGTTTTGAATGGAGTAAAGAAGCAACCTGACATCAACACTGATGTACGGTGTTTTCTATCAGCGTTGAAATCAAGCGCCACTCTACCTCACTGGATCAATCAGAGTAAGCAATCCCATCCTTTAAAATCAGAAAAAAATGCAAAGTAAATTGTTACTTGACGTACCCATTCAATCATCATAACGGAGACACGTTGCTTCAAGAGAACAGAGGTGAATGCCTGGTATCAACACTGTTGCTTCTAACAGTGTTGAAATCAAGCGCCACTTCTCTTCTCCACCTCAATCAGGGGGCTTACAATATCTCTTTCTCATACTGGACAAAGTCTTATATACCTTTGAAAATCGATTTGGTGACCTTTAAACTCCACCCTTTCTTTCGATTGGTCAACAGTTGCTAACTCGTCAACTATTGGATGTTGTGAGGGCACTGGTGAACATCCGTGTGTGTCTAATCGAAGTGAGAAAAAAACGCAATGATAACACTGAAGTGTCTTCACTTAGTTAAGAATTCCCTTGCACAAAATACATAATTTACACATTTTTAAACTCCATAATTTAGCTGATAAATGACGGTGTAGATTTTTTGAAGTGTTTTGCTTATTTTTTATTTGTACTATGTCGGCTTTGGCTTTTGTGGGTTTCGCAGCTGTCTCTTAAGTATACATAGATGGACAACCCTGTCACCGTCTTTGCTTGATATCGGATGCTTGGTGGATTAATTTCACTTTGTAACCGCTTTCATCTCTGTTTTTCTACTCATTATGGGCAACTTGGACGTTTGTATTCACCGCTTCTAAGGTAAGATTAGTTTCATGTAGGAAGTCGAATAGGTTTCCGGAAATGGAACTTTTAACGAACTGGCTGAATGTTTTGTATTGTGCTTGACTTGATCACTGCTGGAGTCGTTACCCACAGGTGTAGACAGGGCTGCATTTGCAACACCTACATTAGATTTCTAACTGCTGCAGCTGTGTTTCGCCTTCGTAGTCCAAATGAAGCCTTTTTGTGGTTTTTACGCCTTTATTCACAAGATATTGCATGATCATGCACTAATGGTGTTACTTTCTATGTAAAACAGGCCACTGCGGTTGTATTACTGTAAAACCTAGAGACTATTTGTCTTAGCTGCTCTCAAACGTACATTACACGAGGCAGTTGGTGTTTACCTCATCAGTTTTAAAGATCTAGGCATCTGTTATGCCTAAACTGGGTAATGCTTCGGAGATCTAAACCAAACCATTGTGAGAGCGGCTATGCTGGTATGGTCACATGATGTGCCCGCGGCATTAGCGCTGCAAAGCTGTATTGAGTCATAAGTTCAGGTCATGCGGTCATTCCCCTACTATCGGTCAACTAAACCAAGTTAGGTTTGCTGTTAGTCGAAACCTGACGCGATTAAGCCAGTGGTATTCTGGCTTTAGAGCAAATAAATTTGACAGTGATTCGGTGGATCAAACTTGCGGGAAAGTACAGTATTGCGATAGATTCTAGTTGTCTGTTTGTGATGTATATTAAATAAGGATTTTTCATATAATCTCAATCAATAGTATTTTATTTCCAAGCTGGTGAGGCCGTGTTTTAGTCGCTGTGCCTATTTGACCACTAAAGCGAACCTTATTAAAGTCATGGACATGCAAGGAAAATTGAAATATGTAGCAATATAAGCAGAAGCGGTGCACTTATAAGTAACTGAGATTATGAGGCATTCTTAATGGTCGTTTTTCTTTCCAGTGTTAAATGACATTGATACTTTGAGGTAAGCTATACTTCCCCATCAAGATCTCGAAATTTCTGAAGGGAATTTTGAGCTTTAGCTATAGCTAACTCTCAGCCGATTGTGTAAGGGTGAAATATGTTGAAATCTCTAAGGCTACCGGTTAACCTGCTAATCTGTCTCCGAAAGAAGTAAATCTCATTCCTATAGCACACCTGCATTTGCAAATGTATGCAAACCCAGGCATGGTCCTGTGGAAGTATATGGCTATCCATTGTAGCAAGCTTTTGATGGAATCTTGAAATTCCCTAATAAATTCATTAATAAGCATTTCTGCATTCTACTGAACATTCCATGGGTGTGGACATCATTCGGAAAAGTTTCTTTAATGTTTGCTGCAATCTATTTCAAAAACAGGTATGAATTTGACTTCCGATCGCATATAGAAGGGCAGCTGAATTAGTAGCCTGTTACATAGCTGTTTTACGTGTCGTTTAACCCCTTCATTAGAAATCAGATGTGGTTCATTGCTTAAGCTGATCAAGCTTTTTTTGTCAGTGTTGATTCTATCAAACTTTTATCTGATAGATAATAGTAGAAGCGGTAGATGAATGCAAAAAATGAACAGGAGTTATAACAGGTTGCAAGAAAAATTGCGTTCCGATGACCCCGCATGATGACCGCCACGTCACCACCAGCACATGAAAAAACTTCGCCAACGATTGGTGGTCCGGCGGTGAGCTGAGGTCACCGAATGACGCACGCGGGTCGCAGACAGCCCGCAAACCATGCATGACTCAGCAACCACTTGAATCACCCGCCTTCACTACGAGGTGCCTCAGCAATAAAATTAGTAAAGTTGAAAACCCACTTCAAAAAGTAGGCTTCTCCTTCATTTGGTGTTTACGGTACCCCTTCAGAGAGCTGATGTTGTTAGAATCACCGAATGTACCAATGCGGATAAATTTTCGTAAAATGTGGCGCAATTTAAAAAATCACATTTTGAAGTGTTAAACTGTGGTTTATTTGAGCGGTCATTAAAGAACAAGTTATAGCAAAGTTCGTCTCAGTTATCCATATATTATTATGCCTTTCTACTTCCCCTTTGAAGTTTTGAATGGGATCTATGAGAAACTGTTTTAGATTTATCAACCATTTGAACTGTCGCATACAGTTACTACTTACAAACAAAAAAGTAAAGCCACTAGGGACTGAGCTTGAATCTGTCCAGCTAGTTGATACGTAAAGACATTGCTGTAAAGCAAAGGATGTGACAATTGATACAAAATGCAGTCAAATGTCAAAAAGTACCTTATAAATGATTGTGATAATTTATGAAATGAAGACTGCTGAATTCATGAATAGGGCGACGGAACAATGCGTGGGCGGAAGCACTATCACATCGGTCAGGTGGAAGATTTACAAAGTATAGGTGCTTGTTTGTCTGCAGACGGATACCTCACGTAAAGAACAAATAACCTTACACAAGACTTAGTTTAATGGGAGACTGGACAAACCTGATGGCAAAGATTTTTAAAATACGTTATCTGTCCTACGTTAATGGTTTGTTAAACTCTCGATTTTGGCAGCGGGCAGATTTGGGGCTCCGTCGTTGAATATCCGCCGAATGGCATGGTATCTGGGCCATGTTAGTAGCCCCAAGCCGATCTGTACTGCTACGATACATATACTTCTCGATTAGTATGACTTCTGCTGTCTTTAGAAAAGTCTCGGAGCGCTACAGCATCTAGACATGTACATATGATTGTTGTAGTAGTACATGATAAAATACATAATATTACATTCCAAAAACATCACCATTTCAAGTAAAATAATTTTGCCTTAGTGGTACTAGAAGTATTGTAGAAATATAAATTTTCTAATCTTTTGAATCAGTGAAACATTAATAGCCGCAACTTCACTTGCTTTAATGCTCCGTTTGTTTGGCGAACCAGGCGATTTAGATAATTTTTTTTCAAAAGAATATGCTTAAGGACAACGAGCTGAAATCCTCGGCATTGTGACTCAGTTGATCAGGAGAACAGAGTAAATAGAAGAAACAGGATATTAACCGTCTTCCCAGTGTACAAAATACAGCACAAGTCAAACAGCAAATAGATAAGATCAAATTGGAAAGGAGTAATTAAGCAGGAAAAAACCGCCATTTTCCCAAATGTGGCCTAGCTGAAGGTTATTAATTGAAAAGCGAACTGTTATTTCTGTAGGAAAAAGTAGAACGCTCTGGATTCAGTGACCTCAATTGGCATTTTATCCAGGGCTACATACTTCCTCTAAAATGGAGGTCTTTTAACTGATAGAGTGCTGTAGGCTCTAAAGTTATTCCATTTCTACAGTGACTGAAATCATATACTTTAACAATTCATTAAAACAAAAAGTTAATTGGCTTTTATAGCGGAATTAAATTACCATGAGGCTTCCTTAAATTCTTTTTACCCTTTCTCAAAGGAAAAGAGGACTTTTGAACCCCACTTAGTCACCTCCGATTCTAACTAATCCTTCTTCTTCTGGCCGGTCCCGGCCATTGTAAGAGAAGATTTCCCTATACACATTATAGTCGTATCACATAGATGGATATCGCCAATAATGGTCGATTTGCTCTCATTATCAGTATTTCCCTCTTCATTCCTTTTGTTTGCAAGCATAGTCAGCCGAAGCTAAAGTGATGCTACCATTAAGCGAACAATTTGAGGGTAACTAAAGACATGGTTGGATATGTTCTTTCACTTAACCTAACGTTGGAACGCAAAAGACATTACTCCTCACGTGTCGGTTAGCAGCCATTCCAAAATTACAGAAATTTGCAACGAATGCAAAAGACAAAATAACAGAGTGAGGGTCGTTGGAAATTATTGTCATCGCCTGGTGAGTGCAAAACCCACCCGCTTAGCTTCCGCCGTAACCTTCCAGCCGATGTAAGATTGAACCGATTTTTTCATCAGCGCGTATATTAGGCACTACTGGGGATTTTAACACGCATCTTTCTCGACGTGGTGAATCGCCAAAATCCTTGAATTTATTTAAAACAATTACAGGCGGTGCATTTTGCCACAACAGTCTCTTTCAAGTATTACGCGATAGATTTAGCGAAAAACTTCAAAGTAGAGTCAAACTAGTTCCCTAAAGTAGGCACAATCGAAGCCCAACCATTGGATTTAATCAGAAATTTATGGTAAGAGAGTGAGTTTAAACTGGTACGCCCAACTGGTCACAGCATATTCGTACCCTTTAACACATGCGGTTATACAGCCACATGCATTTGCAAGCGCCTTCGGGTTACTCTGCAACACGCCATTGCAGCGGGCTATGGAGAAAGCCAAAAGTTATTAGCTATCTGATATTACGAACAAAGACTTTGCTATAAAAGGCCTTTGAGATTGTTATTAAGCATTTGCTTAGGACAGCGTTATTTGAGTGGGTTGTGATGACTTCACACTTATAATCTGTCAAAATTGCAGCTAACAGTATTTTAATGTCAATTTTGGACACAGGTCTTAGGGCAGTACTCGGAGTATATTTGTAGCGCTCCGAGGCTTCTAGCAGGGATTGGGGCTGCGGACACTGCATGGAGGCTAGCTCACCCAGTGAAGGTGCAATAGTCAAGGCACAAAGTCGCCCTTCACAAAAGCCGTGAGTTAAGCAACCAACGTATTACATATTTGCATATACCTATGCCTAAGACATATGACTGTGTCTAGAAAGGGTGAAATTAGAAAAAAATAATGTCTTTTTATTGGAAAACATCTGACTGATTTAAAAAACAAAGTTCTCTTATTTTTAAATTGGTAAAGATTTTTTAAGTGAATATATATGTTATATTTCTTTACTATTTTAAAATAAAACTCATTTACTTGGAGTATCCATGATGTTAAGCTAAAAATACTATAAATTTCCTATCAACATGGGATAGTTAGCATTAAAAGCAAAAAAGAGTAAATGCATCTTTATAATCCTTGTTTAAGTGTGCCTTTTAGGTGAGCAGGGTTTAGTATACACGAGCACTGAACCCAAATTTTACCGTCTCAAAACTTCCCTGAAGACAAAAGAATACATAATACTATGGCAGAATACATGTATTTAGCGCGCAGCATGGTCGGCAAAAGTACAGTGGCGGAGTACCTACTTGGTCCCTTTACTAAAACAGAATGTTAAACAAACAATTAAAGCGTGACAACATAATTTTGATTCCCTGCAGAACTTTATAACGCTTATCCAGTAAAAGATGTCCTCTCCTTATTAATCTCCTCTTTCCATGGGTGTGAAAGCGGAGCCAGAGAAGAGAAATGCTAAACCTGCTACACTTCCTCCTACTCAACGTATCTCTCATTCCATGGAACCTATAATATCAATAGCACCAAAAGCCCTACTTAATTACAAACAGTAGAATTTTTAGGCTGGAACTAATAGGTCGCTAAGATGGCAAATAAACGCATTCGCAAACATTGCGGAAATAGGGGAGTTCTCTAGGAAAGCGCTAGAAAGATTTGTGGATGTGGAAATGCCATAGCCATTACAGTGAGTTTAAGTAAGGAATGGTTCCCTTTTGCTATACTTTCTGATTGCAATAGCAACATTTCGAGTGTTAATAGCACGTTCTTCTGAAAAAATAGCCTTTTTAAGGTTACACACTTTTGGGATCATTTAAACTCAACAGAAAGACGTATTAGGCCTAATTTGTAATCCACTTTAATCAACAAGTTTTTTGTCCTTTGAATGTGGTTTTGAGTTTCCAACTCTTTGATCACCTTAATTATCGAATATTAATGCATAAATTAGCAGTTTCTTTGCTTTCACCATGAAATCCTAGTCTAAATTTATACTTTGAATAATGGTTTTTATTGAGAAACAATAACAAATGCTTTCTGCGCCTAAAAACAATCTTTAAATCGAAAGGGTCTTCAAGATTTGAGTGCTACTTTAGGCAAACATCTAATTGCAAGACACCCCACTTATGTAACATTTCCTTGAGCCTTCTCTTCTTTCTTCGTTTTATGACTCTGGACCAAGAAGACTGGATGGGAGAAAGTAACGTATTAAGGAATATGGAATTTGTAAATGCAAAAGGTATGATATGATATCAGAGTTTGTCTTCCCCCTGGGGACCGATTACGTCTGCTATATCTGCCGCTTTTCACAAGAAAGGTGCAAAATTATGGAAAAGACGGCTGTTGATGTTTTAATGCAATTTATTTGAGTTTGTTGTTTGGAGTCTGCGACCGCTGTACTAATTAAACTGCACTTCACAAGTGGCGGGGATTGTAGGTGTTGTTGATTCAGGGGCAACTCCATGGCTTTTTTCGGGATTCCCTTGCACGATTTGAAAGTCCATAAAAATAAGTTGTTTCGAATCTATTGGCACGTGACTGTTTTTGGTTTCGAAAAATTTTAAAAATGGTGCTTCAATGAATAAGAACCAAAGTGGTTTGCTCTAAGCTCAACTTCATTCAAGTGCAAAACCATCATCATCGCTTTCGCTCACCCCCCGGCTCCAAACTCTTTAATCAAGAAGTCTAATCTTTCATGTATATAATGTTTAGCTTAAAAAGGGAACTGTGCAGGTCTTGAAAATTTTGACAGGAAATTGGAATTGTAACCTCTTTTGGGACCGACGTTTTTCCCTCAGTCACCAGCTTTGTCGAACAAACACGTGCTACACAAAGTGTTGGATCCAAAGTAGCGTAACTAAACACCGTGACTAGCGTGCGTAATACGCGTTTTGGCATTAGCAAAGCAACTTCTGCCCAACAGCTTAAATGGGGACTCCATAAATGTAAGTCCCAGTTGATTTTAGACAATTTTTAATGTTCCAATCTGACCCAATTAGTAAGACTGAAACAATTACCATCGTACTTGACAAGTCACCTGTATTTACTGATATCGATAGGCAACATCCTACCAAGTCAATTGCAAGGAATTATCAACGACTATTCGGATGTAGGAAGATATTGGCAACTGAAACCTGCCTTCCATTTGCTGCACTTCATGCTGCAGAAGCAGTGACTGCGATGATGTTGGGGTTTTCATGGTCTATCAGTAGACTAGCTTGTAGAGGTGAGTGAACGGATATTTGCAACCCCTCAATCTTCTTTATTGAAGCATTTTAGGGGTCATTTTAAATTTGAGACTAGTACAGCTTTATTTCTAAGTCACCAAGTAGTCCCTAAGTGTATTATCCATCTTTGAATTCTTTAATTAATTCGCAAAAGCTAATGTAGGTCTCTTTGCGGTTGCAAATAAGATCTAGCTTCTTTTAGAATCCAGCCAACATTCCTTGACTCCGATATTTAGCTATCAAAAGCGGGCTTTTCAATTAGCCTTCCCGAAGTGTCAACATCTCAATATGGTAGTCGCAACCAAGCTCAGAATGACCAACTTTGAATGCAGAACTGAGTGCCGTTGACTCCACGGATGCACTATGATAACCGAATAATAGGCTCCCCCAAAGTAACTGACCATCAGTGGAAGTTGCATGGTCTTAAAAATTTAACAAAACTACCGAAGAGATCAGACATCACGTTTACCTAGTAGTGGGAAGTTGTAATTATGGCTACTTCAATTTATCTATGAAGTCCCTTTTTTATTCTGATCTCTACTTTCCAGTCACTTAAAAAATTCACATTTTTCCTTGTTGATATCGGCATGCCCCTCTACAGACGTCAGACCCATACTCTCGCTTAAAATAATGTGTAAAAGAAGCATTTTTCAGGATATTAAAATAAAAGGAGGTGGTGTGCTTCACTTCCAGGTGCTGGTTTTTAAGAAATTGTGAACAACAGTCTGATCAACCACCACACTCCCACGGAAGATCCACAGTGAGCGGTTGTAAAGAAACCGTTTGAGGATGCCTGGCTAAGTGTGGCGGCTGCAAGGGTGGAGCCTCGGTTACACAAAGGAAATGTGTTGATGAGGAGATTAAGGGATTTTACAAGAAAGAATTTTGATTTGTAAGCTTTGTTTAAAGCATTACTTTGCAATGTGTGGACAGGCTGCGATTTTTGCAACTCATATGGAAACGCGAATTTCACAATCATAATAGAACGAGATTTTTAATTGTTTAATGATATTGCACTTTTAAGTGAGTAACTAGTGAATTGCTAATTAATCATTTTTTTACTCTCAACGATTCGAAGAGCAAGATATCATCGGGATTTATGTGGAGTCCAAGGTAAATCATTTTGAGAATTAATCCGAAAACGTTCCAATAAATGTTATTTGGAACTATAAAACCCGAAACGAGTTGCAATTATCACAGATTTAAAGTAAACTTAAGAAATGTTTATAATTCTTGCTGTTGGAGAAATCAAGATGGTTCATCCATGTTCCCACGGGCAATTGCTTGCAAATTAACTTGTCATTCAGCTTCATGATCTATTCCCATGAGGTGATAGGGCAAGATAATTTTCCATTTATTCAGTTAAAAGTCTACTTTTGTTTAGAATTCACTTTCCATTTTCCCCACTTTTCCTTATTTTTGATAGGGCAGAAGATGAAGTATTTAATACCTCATTCTTAGCCTTGTAGGCATAATCTATCATTTTAGCTTTCACTTTTGTCAATAAAGGGCAATGCTTTAGTAGCTTGTTTGTCAAACTCTCTTTTTGGTAACGAGAGCATTTAAAGCTCGACTATTTTACCTTCCCTAACCGGCCTTGCATCCAGTCTACGGCAGTAGCCCCCAACCCTTCTCTCATGCCCTAGCATTATGACTTATTTTGTCACCAGAAAAGACTAAGGACGCCATTTCGGTGGCAGCGGGAAGTGGATCAGATTCCAAACAGCCTCTACCCTGACATCTACTTTGGAATGCTAGGTATTAACATAACGTAAGAACGCCATATGGTGCGGGTGGAAAAATATATGATGATCTCTAACAGAGGGATTGAAAAAGACGTCTGCTCTCGCCAACTGTTCGGCAGGAATGCTATTAGCGATTAAAGCAACATCAGCTGCATCCGTAAACCATCTAATAAAGTTCGTTGCAGATTTGTGCATGGTACCTGTACGAAGAAGCCAGTTAAGCGAACATGCGGCTCCTCCTCCACCTCTCTGTTGGAACCCAAAAAGGTATTATTGAACAGAAGTGAAGTGAAAACAAAGTGGCATGGGAAACAAACGCGAAATCTTATCTTTACTATGCTTGGCCAAACATCTTCCTTTATTACATGACTTCGCTTTAAGGCCATCGTTCTCAAGACTAGCGGTGGACATCTTGATGACCAACAGATTCCCCTTCCCCAAATGTGATTTTCGAACAAGACGAAATTCCAGATCCAGTAGAATTGCCTGGCGAGATCAATGACATTAAGGTCAAATAGGGTTTCAGGTGAAAGGAAATTAGATGACAAAGGCAAATGTTGGTTCGAGGATGTTTATCTTGCAGCACCGGCTAAGCTGTGACGAAATTAAGGAAAGAGCTAGGGTCGAAGCTCAAAAGAGAAAGGACTATGTAATGCCTTGATTACTTGTTCACCACTTTGTTTTAGTTTCGTGGATACTTACCACTCCGCCATTATACTTTCGAAGGGCGGCATGACGTCTGGGCCATGCCCGTAGCCTCTCAGCTCTTCTACACGTCATCAACATGTATTCTGCCCTAGTATTATGTCTCCTTTCGTCTTCAAAGGAGTCTTAAGACGTTGCGTAATTTAATGCTCCCCGTATTTCAGTCACTTTTATGGACAAAGTAAAATAATTTGTAAGTTCCTGTTTTCCTCAGATCTCTCTGGGACTATGTATCATATTTAGGTAGTCCAGTAGCTAACAACCTGAAACCTAGTAGTTGCTGCGACGCCCCAAGTATTTCCCGAAGACAAAAGAAGACAAAATACTAGGACGGAATGTGTTATTGACTCATGGAAGAGCTAGCCGGGGAACTACTGGCAGGGCTCGGAGGTCGAGCGACCCAACAGAATTACGTGGGCGTATTCTTAAGTGCCTGCCTAATTAAAACGAAGGGTTAAACAAATAATCGAAGTCGCACATTACTTTTTACTCTTTGCCTTTATGGAACTAATAGCTGCTCTTGTAATTTTTCAACAGGTTCCCACAATAATGACAGGTTATATCAGTATATCCAGCAAAACGACTGTTCGCGCCCAAAAAATAATGGAATTTTCACGATTCACACCAAACAGTAAAATTCATTCAAATGCCAACTTTTGCCATAATCACAAATTTAGATGCTTTTCTAAGAGATTGGGAAGTTCCCCGCTGAATGTAATGTAATGTAATTGATTTACATATCAATGACTTTTGTCACCTCGCTGACTTAGTCGATCAGTCAAGAAGTAGCAAACTAAGTACTTCACTTTTCATTTAAAAACACCCCATAGGTATGAGTTTGCCATTTAAAATTGCGTTTTTAAAGTTTAAATGCTAAAAATGACAAAAATTATCATATTTCTGAAATAATTCTTCAACAGACAATCTTCTATCTCAACACTTCCGTCGCTAGCATCAAGTAATGTGCTGTGCAGTCCATATCAGTAGTACCGCATATTTATTAAATAAAATAAACTGAGAATGTTTTTGGTCCAGAGATAAAAGCATTTTCCAGTCTTTTTCTTAGAAATGTTAAGAGCAGCGAAGCTCCCCGCGCACCAGGGTCATTAATGGTTTAAATGACTTTTGAAGTGCCGTGAACTTCCTAAAAAGGCAAATATTCGACAAAATTGACGCAAATTTGGTCAGCAAATACAAATAAGGCGACATTTTTAGTGGCATTTTTTCCACATCGCTTCCGTATGCAGATCAATGCATGTCAGCTGGATATAAAAGTAGACTAGTGTTTCCTATTTGGATGCACACAGTCCATCTGCATTTGCTTTCATTACCACATCGACTTGATTTGTGTGGTTGCATATTTATTTTGAGCAGCCTAAGCACAGAAGATACAGTTTCTTCTTGTACCCTAAGGTTATTAGTGCTTGGATAAATAAAAAAAGGGGTTAGTTACTAAGATTTATTGTAAGTCTATATGGTCTATTAAATATCTGCTGCAAAGCATACAGACTTTAATGCTCAGATGGTTTATTTAACTCTGCTTTCGCTTACCCTGACACTTAGACCTCCACTGATTGTACTTCCCCTCGGCGGCATGCCCTTGGGCTAGGTCAATAGACTTTCGCCCCATCCAAACGCCAGTAATACATTTTCTGACTTCACAGCCTCAAGTAGGACCCATGGCTCTTGAAAATGGTAAGTAATTTAAACTCTGTAATTCGGAGGGCATATTGGCGATTTTTGACTTTTGTTTAATAATTTGAGACAATTCAGTAATTGGCTACTATTCTATTGATGGGGTAGGTCATAACCAGTCATGTCAGAAATTCTAGCAGCATTGGCTGAAGCTGTAATGCTTGTAGAATCACAAAATTTATTTCACTGCGCCTAATTTTAACTGCATTTTGTTGCTTCGTGTTTATTTTTTGTCTTTTTTGTGCAGGAAAATTAGATGATAGCAAGCGCAAGGGAGAATTCCAAATTGGGAGTGGCTAAAGCGCTTTGGCAGCATCGCGAGGTACTTGCACTAACTAAGCTTATGATCTCAAACTATTGGCCATACCTAAATATTTTCCCCACTGTAGTGTGCAGGTTTTAAAATCAGCTCATAGCGTTCTGTGGTAAGCAGCTTCATTTACAAAATAGCACAACCATTTCATACATTCATCTAAGATCTTATTCCGCAGAAAGTCATGGCAAAAGACAATGCTTACAGAAACTTTCAGAGAATTTTATACAGAAATCGGTTTTAACGCTGTGAGCATTCTCACCTTTATATCAAAACATAAACACTTTCCTACCTTGCATTTGGCAGTAAAATTCTAAGTGAATAATCATAAAGATTTTAAGTTAAGAACAAGATACATAAATGGTAATCCCCTTGCTACCACCAAAACATAATTCCAGAAATATGAACTTGTGTTTCACAAATTGGATACTAACCTTATTTTCGTTGCTGGTATCACAGTTCTTGAAAAATGCACCAGTGCGGTCAAAAATGTGCTTTTTTTTTCCAAATCACACTTGGTCGACACATAAAAGATTGTAAATGTGAAAAAATAAACAAAAAGCTGAAAGTCATTTTAGACGTTCTTAAAGTTACTCCTGTTTGCAGGTATTGACGAGTTTCAACAGGTCATATGCATTTATCGCAGAGCATCTAGACTAAATTTTTTTGAGTCTTTGCAAACGGTTACAATGAACCGCAAACATTTGCAGTCTTGGGTTCCTTTTGGAGGGATCGATGGTTAACAGCAAGAATTAACTGATATATTTTCTTTGCATAAATCATACTTGTGCATGTATTTGGATCCAAATGGAAATAGAAACAAGAAATTATAAATTCACACCTGACTTGTTGAGTGATTTGGCTCCAAACCGTCTGTTCCCATAAAGCCATCAGAATAATTGGTCTAGAGCGGTAAGACCTAAAGGTGGGAACAGTGGGAGGCAATATTAATACATTTTAATCGTAAAATAAAATGAAACAATTCTTTTTGTATCAGTTTTTGTTATTTTCGGTTTTGTTCTCATCATTTTTATGTCTTTAGTAGAATCGGCTATTATAACGGCCCAAATAAATAACATCCTTCATGTAACTGAAAGCAAAGTTAAGGATGGCATATCGGGATGTGCAGTAGTCCATTCAACCCATTCTCCTTTGGTCGCTATTTCTGCAAATTGAAAGTAGGTTTGAGAGTCTAAGCGGACGGTAACTTTGCGCCACTTCAGTTTAGCAGTGTCTGCATCTGCCTTCACCGACAAAACTTTCTTTGATCGTCCACACCGCTTATTCGTAGGCTTCAACAGAAATTAGTTGAATTTTTCTCTAAAGTACCCAAAAATCTTGGTGCATTAAGTGGCAGGTGATATTTCTGGAGTAGGAATTTTAAGCGTGATTGAGTTTTTTTAAACACATGCCTTTAAACAGATCAAATCAAACCACTCTTCCTGCGTACATACCTTTGTGCATTTTTGTTTAAGAAAAAAATAAATGCCTACTTAATGACTCTCAAAAACCTTATTCGTTGGTATAATCAAATTTGTACTTTACAATAATGGTCCAGCAGTAAATAAACGTGAAAAATCTACTTCACTATCCAACCTTGGTCGCATACACGTGCACACAAAAAGGGAAAAAGGGGAATTACAAAGTCCAAGAATGAGACAACATCTCAATCTCTCATCCAATTCTAGATCGCGGTATGAGGTCTTCCCATGGGAAAGTTTTGTGGTAGGAGATCTTGCTAGGTTTTTGACTGTTTCTAAATTAAAAGTTCCCCATAGGAAAATTTCCATTTCGTCTAATTTACGCAAGTGAACGAATCGCTGCCAGAACTTTTGCAACTTCAACTGGAAATCCGCGATGATCAATCCCAGCTTCAGCCCTTCACTCACAATACAAGTGTAGTCTTCTGGTGATGAAATGAGATGGGATGCCTGCTTGTAGGTTAATTCGCCTAATATTATCATCCTACATCATAAGTCAGTTGTCAGTTAGTCATTTCACTTAAATTGGTTTCATTTATTTGGCGGTACACAACTGTATCATCAACACTCAGGTGACGAAGTAGTTTCCAAAGTTCTTTCAAATGCACTAGTGTCAGATTATTTTAAGCAATCGCGACAATTCTCCACCTATACCACAAATAGGAGGTCTTCCTCCGTTACCAAATGACCCATCATGGCAATTACGGAATTGTTTATTTGATCAACTTTCAATTAGCGCTTTCCACTACCCTACCCTATCTTAGCCTATTCAACAATATCCTACCTGCACCGTCTAAAAATGCTCTGCAACACATTGGACAGAGAGATGTCGCATCTTTGGAAGGGGGCGTTGAACTGGTTTTGTGGGGCGAATATGACATAAGGAGTGGTAGGAAGTGAGGCTAAAGCGGTATAAGTATTGATGTAGTGTTCCGTATTCCACTGGTGGACTGACTTGCACGGTCTCATGATACTCTTGTTACAAAATTATTTGAATAGGATAGCCAAAATAGTTCCGCTTGATCATCGTTTACCTAAGTTACTCTAAAAATATTTTGCTTAAGTCAAATAAATACTCAGGATATCTGTAAACATGAGGAACAATGAAAAATTTAACAGCAACATTTCAATGCCTGCTTGAATGAATGAAAAAAAAAATGCGTAGATGGTTCACAAATATTCTACTCTGCTAATTTAGTAGGCAAGTTGTGTAGTGATTTGCTCCGAGTCGACAAGCATGCTTAGAGTAAAATTGTTTTTTTTAGGAGTCCATTCACCACGTATTTTTCCATAAATTTTCAAAACACATTTTGGATGTGAGGGCAAATCATTTTTTTCATTTTCTTAGAAGGACGCACTGAAGCCATTCAGCATTTCAAAGTACTAGGTTATATTGGCAAGCATTCTTATGTCCACAGAGGAATCGTTGTACCCATCACTCAACCACACCAACTGTTGGGACGCACTTACATACGCAGGAACAGCAATCGCAGTTATTCCAGTAGACACTCGACCGCAATCAACCATATACACATCTCTGGCATGAGGTGGGAGAGTGTTCAAAACAGATGACACTCTCTTTCAAAGCTTTGAATTCTCCCCTACCAACCGTTGTAAAGATACAACGATTATTCAATTTGCCATGAAATTAACGAAACTTATTCACTATCCCGCCTAAAATGATTGTCTTCTTGGTTTAAACGTATGGATTCAGTGAGTTTTGTCTGTGTGAAATATGCTTCAATCATGAGTGTGTGAAAAGTGATTGAAATGACTTAGATTAAATCTAAGGATTTAATGGTTTACTTCAGAAACATAATGCATAAGCATATTTTCAGGTATTTTATAAATGATCTGAACAAGTCAAATACTTGACTCTCTATGACCAATTTTCGTGTCTACTAAGTAGTTGTGGATTACTTAAAGAGGACAATTTTTAAACAAACCGTATGCAAATTAACTCGTGTTAGTTTATTTCAAAGGTGTAATCCTTTGATTGCTTGTTTAGCTCTTCGGCTTGGTTGCACAGTCACTTAAAGCCTTGCAATTGTACTTCCGCTGGGTGGCATGGCCTCCGAACTATGCTAGAAGCCCCAAGCCTTTTTCCTCCTTCTATTTCTAGAAAGATAAGGCAAGTTAAAAGATTTTACCAAACTGTTACAGCTATTGGACGGCAAGCTTTATGACAAAAATTGATTACGTGTGCAAAATAAACTTCTCGCCCTTAATAATTTTAATTTAGCTTTTCAGACGGTTTACACGGCCTTTCCACTGTCATTTTGTGATTATATAAGCAATAAGAGACTAGTGAAGTCTGAGAACAATATGAAATCGCGTTTGACTGAATACCGGAAATTCGTTTGTTTTGATGTTACAATTCAACTGTGGAAATTTAAACCGCGAGGGACATGCTCTTGCCTACTTCAACGTTAGTTGACCTTTATCGAATTTCCAAAAGCTACAAGCATAAAATTTTAGCCCAAAGCAGGGGCTGAAAATGAGAAATGCGAACTCAATAAGGTACACTCGCTAAGAGAGTGAGCGAACTGGGTTAAATCTTGGGGAGGTAAAACACTTTTATTGTAGAATACACGAATGTAACTTAGGAAGGAACAACTTCAATATTGCGCAGGGCGTAAAGGGAAAAAGAAAGCAAAGACATTGAATGAGCTAACAGTAGACTAAATATTTTTCATTACTGTGTTGCCATCATACAAAAAATATCAAAATTTGCATCATAGTCCCCAGCTATTCCACTGAGAAGTGACAGGTAACTAATGCGCTATGGTATATGGTTTGGTGTAGGGGGTTTCACAGTAAATTTTTTTAATATTAAGGCAGGATCTCAATTTGAAAATTGTGCAAACAGATAGAGCAACGGTGTATTCACACGGACGGCAGCATTTTTCGAACACGTTTTATTCCAATGGGAAATGCAAAATATTTTAACTAGTAGTTAGGGGAAATTTGTACAGAACTCTGATACTCATTTTGCGATTCCCAAAGTAGAGAATGAAGTTGATAGTAAATGTGGGGGACTGAATGTCCTAGTTTTTTATCCATGCAAACTAATAAATTCTTCTTGAGATTCCTCTCTTTTTCATGTGGCATGTTTTCTTTGATTTTCTTGCCCCAGATGGTAACGTGTGGCTCTGAGAAGGTGGTCAAATCTACTACCACCGTGTTTGCTCCTGAGACGGATAATTACTGACTTAGAAAATTGTTTATAATACCAGACCGTTTTATGGGCATTGGGGTGGACGAGGCGTGGAGCTATAAATTAGGGTCTCTTGATTGGAGGTTTTTTTAACCTCAATGTAGAATTAGCCCATATTCATCTGGTGGCAACACATCTGGATATCGTTGGGGTGACTATAAGAAGGAGAAAAGGAAGCGTAAGAAATCCAATTATTCGTCTTCGTTTCTTTATAGCTTAACAAAATATTAAAGAATGTCATCGCTACTACCTTAATTTCAGAAGGTGACATTAAGCCATCATCTTTTTTCCACAGTATTAGTGTTTTGTGTTCCAAGCATTGAATGCAAAAATTATTTATTAGGCGAAACCTATCATAACGCTCTGTTTAAAAATGAATTACTGCTTTATCGCTAGGCCTGGTAGTACCACCGCCAAGCACTTCGCCATTAATGTTAAGGTTTGAGAAGGTAGAAAGCAACCTACCTTCATGACAGTGTAGTGGGATTTAGGTTTTCTTGTGTTTTACATGTTGTGACACGAAATTGATAGTGAAACAGTTATGGTACTTTGAGAGGCAAATCAGCTGGTAACTAATTTCCACTAATAAAGTATTTGGCTATTAAAGCGGACGGTCTTCACTGTTGTTTACATTGGTCTTCAACCCTGACATTGGATGGCAGAAGAAACAGAGTATCATTATGGAAGATCGAGGCTTGTATTCTCTTGAGAGGAATCGGCTGACTTGGGACCTGGAAATAGTGTGTTGCAAAATGAACACATTTCGTAATTGTTTATTAGTTTATTTTGACGTTTAAACAATTAACGATTATACGCTTGCAGCCACTTCGGAAGTGGTATATTTTTTAAGCTTTGATTCAAAATATTTATCCTGCGTTCACCTCAGTTGCTTATGTCAGGGAAGCTATTTCCAAAACATGATATGATTTTCTTCTCAGGGGCCAATCACTAAGTCTACCCTGTTTAGGACATAAAAAACCATAATGTAACAAAATGGAGAAGTTTCTCTTCAACTTTAATGCTAGATAAAAGATTGAGTAGCATCTTATTGGATTTGAATATTGTAAAGTAAAATTTGCAGTTTTTTAACACGGTTCGCTTTGATTCTCCACTCCTGGGAATGAGGAAAATTACGCAGAATCCGTAAAACGAGAAGTAAAAGATGGTGATTTGGTTTTTTAACAGAAGTGATTATGCATTCATAGGGTAATTAGCATGAGTTATAAACAGTAAACAGGATGCTGTGTCGATCATTCTTTGAAGAGGCGGATACGGCGTCAGAAGTGATCAATGTCACCCTTTTCTGGTGCGTGCCAACGACCTGCCATTGTGTGAAAATTGATGTATCTTCGTACCAAGCGATGCGCATGATGCTTGGTGGGTTAGAGGGGAAAATGGAATCGTTCTTAGCTAACACATTCCCCTATCTTTTTTCCGAATATCGTTAGCTAGTTTTTGAATCTATCTGATTTAAAATCATAAAAAATCAAAAAACAACAAACGAAGCTGAACTTTTACTAACCTCTTTCTGTTTTGGTTAATGGTAGAAGGCTAGTGGCAGCGGAAAGCGAACTTAATGCTAAAGGACAACTGCACTAATTTCTATTACCGAGAGGCAAACGTTAACATGGTGGAAGAAGAGCATAGGCTGTGGATGGGAAAGTCGATGAACATCCTTAGCAGAAGGGTTTAAATTGCCATTTACCTTTAGAAACTACTTCACCCCGTACTCCGCAGTCAAGTTATTGACAACTGGAGGGACACTAACCGTGTCGAGGAAGTATGTTGCGGAGCTGTCTAGATTGCCTCTTTGATGATGGCACTTAAATGTACACGCGATAATTCCTCCACGTCTCTAGTAATTTGATACAGCCCTGAGATATGAGTAGGAACTGGAAAACTATTTAAACTCCGTCCTTCCTTAAATGACTGCTTTAAGATCAGTGTCCTTACAGCTACCGATAGACATAGGTGGTGGGCTACACATTCCACGTTTTCCATTACAGTTCCCGAACAGGATGAAACTCCAGATTCAGTGGGATTGCCAAGTGTTGTGGCTGTCAAATACCTTCTCAGGTAAACGAAAATTTGATGGATGATGAGGTTGGTTCGTGGGTGTATTTCTCACGGCACCGAATACGCTGTGATGGTCGACGCGCGCGGTTGATCAAAGTGAACATTGGGGGCGTTGAAGTAGCTGTGTAATATTTTGGTTATTTTTTTATTCTTTGTTTTGGTTTTGCCGACACTTAAGGCTCTGCCTTTGTGCGTCCGCTCGCTGGCATGGCCTTTGGGTCATGGCAATAGCGCTTCAGCCTTTCTGCACGTTGGCATTGCATATTCTGTCCTAGTACTATTTCACCTTTCGACTTCAGGAAAGACTCGGTGCCCTACAATACAATGAATTTGTTTTGATTAAGATCTTGACTTAAAAAGCGAACAGACTATGGATGAACTACACTTTTAGAAAATGCTATTTATGAAGACTTTCAAAGCATATTCCCTTTATTCCTATATACACCAACAAAAGTGCACATTCCTTTTTCTACAGGCTTATAAATATCCTCCCTTTGATGTTCATTTTCCATACTATATTAAATGTCAGGTTATTAGTTAATTCCTCAACGAATACCAAGCAAGTAGAGAAGAAACGCTTTTCGTTGTTAGATTAATCACTAAAGTAGGATTTTGACTACTCCTATCGGGGTATCACAAAGTGAAACATAGTGCCAGGTTAGTCCCTCTAAGTACAATAAATCATCTTTTGGGGGCAAAAGTTATAATTCCTGTGATTGGCCATACTTCCTAGATAGCAAGCCTATAAGCTGAAGAAAGCGGTGAGTGAGAAAATACCTTTAATCTCCGAGGAGGAGGTTACGAAAACTAATTCCTTCTTAAAGTTCTGCCTCCCCCTTTTAAGCTGGATATTATATCGTCAAACAGTCACTCCTCTCAACGAAAGAATTTGAAACCGGAAGGAGATGGAAAATAACTCGCAAAACCTACCTTTTACCACTTAACTACTTTGTTTAAACACGCAACTTGGCAAGCATTTTGGATTCATATTCAGTGTTGCTGTTTGATCAAAGCAGTAGCATTTGTTGTCATGTCACCTTTTCTAGTTGCAACTGACATTTTATTTAAATGCTCCTTAGACTCCACATGAAAGCGCTTTATATCAGACGAAATAAATGGCAGTGGATTTTCGCTTTGTGCTACAAATTTGTTAAGATCGTAACAGTAAAGACGGTGAACAAATATTAATTTGTCTGACTGCAGGATTTATGTTACTTTAAATTCCTGCGATTTAACTAATGGTTAGCCACAAAATCTTTTACGAGCTAGGTATAAGTCGTCTTACCTTTTTATTCTTTTTTTAATAAATAGAACAACCTGCGAAGGCTAATTGGGCAGTTCATAATAGGATACAAATTTACTGTAGCGGCTCGAACCTTTCCTCAAGGCGAAGAAGACAAGATACTGGGGCAGAATAGGCACTGTCGACGTACAGAAGGGCGGGTGAGCTACTTACATAGCGTAGAGGCCATTTTTCGCAGCAAAAGTACAGAAGTGGAGCCCTTGTGTGACAGCAAAACCAAAAGAAAGAGTTCACCAAATAATTAAAGTCTTACATTACCTCTTTAAGATGTTTAAAATGCTTGCAGCTCCTGTCCTTAGGCCAGAATTTAAACCTCGATATCTACTTAGTAACAGATTCTTCATGACATAATACCTTAAGATATGTGGCTAGACGAAAGGTTACAAATTGTTGTTAGGTTTTCATCTGTCAAACGTAATTTGCCTTGGTGTCCCGGAAAGTAGCAAAAGAAAGGAATGTAGAGGTATTACTCGTGGTACTTACGCCCCCAATGAAGATATATCCGTCAGCATAACTGAAAAGGCTACTTAAGCAACACTTAGACATTTATTTTCCTTCTGCTAAGCCAAACAATATTCACTCATTCGTTTAGCCAAGAAAATAAAACGCAATTTCCCCTAAAAATTGTTGAATCATTTATGAGTTCTTGAATAATTACGGGAAGTTTTCTTCATCCGGGTGGGTATTGCCTATGGATTTTATCAACATCTACTTTTAAATTTTTTTGTAGAATAAATCAAGAAGATTAGATTGTGGAAAATTAGAGACATAGTGGGAGGTTAGAAGTTAAATGTATGCTGCATTAAAGTCCATTCAATCAACTAATTTCGCCACACTACAATGAATCCTCTTACGACAATGGGCTATATGAATTTTAGGCAAAATGAACTTCAGACATAGGTCGTTTTTTCGGTGAACCAGGGAGAAGCGGGAAGTAACACTCGCTGTCACGTTCGCCATGTAGGGTTGGACGATCACGTAGACAGATTTAATAACAGCACTTTCTCTTAGGTATTTGGTTATGTAAAGGAGGTGCGAGCGCCATCACTACTGCAAACATTGACACCACCAGCGTTGCAGTCCTACTGGCCAGACAGAAAAGCGCCCACGTCGAAGCAAAACCACTGTCTACAAAACAGTCGTTACTGTTACTATTGTAAAAAACTGATCTCCTACACAGTGTGTTTTACAAATTTTGGTTATTAGGACGCGCGTATGCGTGTCTGCGTTGGGTAGACGGCAGTCGGACGACGCTTGGCATTGGTCTGCGCGGTATTCCAATGAGACACAAACCCTGCCATTGATTTGCATCTCAGTAGCAGCATGCTTGCCTAATTAAGCGACACCACTTTTTACCACTTTAGGGAAGAAAATCGTCAAGGTCAAGCTAATGAATGAAATGAACTATAATTAGGTGGGAGAAGACTAGCTGTGCGAAAACTAACTGAAAGCCAAAAAAAAATAGAAAAAACAAAAATTTAAGCGCTGACTTTGAAAATTTCATAGGCTTCTTCTCCTTTATCCAGGCTTTCTTAGAAATGCGCCATTTACCTAAAAAAATAGCGATATTTACACAGCCTAAATAAATAGGTAGGTAATAAGGGCAGGATAGGTTTTGCCAAATAGACCGAATGACCGTTTACACAGTGGAGGTGGTCTACCCTTACAATCATACCAAAGATTTTTACGATCTACGTAGCCTAAATCAAGTGGAACTAAGGCCTAACCGATTCTCACAGTGGGTTTGGAGGTACATGGGTTCCCTATATGGTCTTTTGGCCCTCCTGATTTCACCAACTTCACTCATTTGATCCAAGGGGATTAAATAAGACTTACCGAAAAATGCTTTCAAATCTCTCACAATTTGTTCTATTCCCAGGTCATGCACATTCTGGGAGCATAAGCATCTTTCGCGGAAATTTCACGGTTATCTTGACTGCAGCCTTATTCATGCCTTTTGTCAATGATCACGGATATAGGGTCCAAATAAGATCACAGTTATGTAACAGGCTTATCACACGTTTTCTTGGACAAATGGGTACTCAAATTCAAACAACAACTCCGAAAAAAGTTGTTTGCAATTTTTGGTAATAAAACTTGTGAAATTGTTAAATGCGCCGATTAGGGCATTTTGCCCTTGAACATGAATTAAGAAGTGCTATTTAAAACGTAAAATTTGTCTTAAGGAATGTGCAAAACGATATTTATGTGTGGTGTGGAGTTCCTCTCGCGAGTACTGAGGAGTGACAACTACCATGATCACGTGATGGCTTTTGCTTGTTTACGTTAGTGGTGCACATAGTGGCGCGCATCATGTACCTACTGATTGGGAAAGTTTGGTGTAGCTCGCTGCACTGTTTTTTATAACTGATAGGAATTGAAAATACATACACATATCAAAGTAAAGGTGTAAGTCAGATCGTGGGTGCGATAGGGTACGCTTCGTCATTATCTGTACCTTTTTGCCCTTACTTCAAATCCATCTCTACGTCATAAAATTGAGGTCGAATCTGGTGAATGTTACTGCAGCCTACCCGCTCCACGAAAGCAGTTCAAGATGCTCTTCCAAAGATGCAGAGTCTCACTGTTTAGTGTGTTGCTGAGCATTTTGCGAAGTTGCAGTATGAGGCAGGGTGGGGCGGTATAAGGTACTACTTAGAAGTAGTTTAAACAAACAACTGCATAATAATTGTGGTGATGGGTCACTTGGAAACAGGGGCTCAGAAATCAAGTCGAGAAAGGCCCCAATTCGTTGCGATTGGCAAAAATAACCAAAGACTAGCGTAGTAGGAGGTACTTTCAAAACTGTTTCACGGGCACTTAAGCTATGTGAATAAATCGACTGTCTGTCTAGCGACTGACTTGTGATGGGAAATGAAAACATTGAGCAAAATAACGTATTTTTGGACATCGTACCTCACACTTTTAAGGGGTCATCACTTTCCTGTCAGACGACTTCGCTTGCGTTGTAAGTGAAGGATCAAGGACGAAATCGTTCATAGTGGGTTTCCAGTTAAAGTTCAAACAATTAGGGCTATGATCCACCTACTAGATTGAACTGGATGCAGGGTAAAATAGTATATGAGGCTCCTCTTCAAAAAACAGTCGTTTGGAGATTTTTTTTTTTATACACAAGACAAGAACTCAAATGATTCCCGTGACAAGACCGCATACCTCATTTTAAAATGAATTGAGAGGGCAGTCTCATTTCCAGCCTTCGTATTTTCCTGATATTTCATCATATAGTAATTACCATCTCTTCGTTATAATTAAACAATCGCATACAACGTGAACCCTTAGAAGAAATGGATGGTTTTTGCTTTTAGAGACTAAACACTTAATAAAGCGTATCTCTCTGCATACCTCTATCGAGTTAAGAAAGGGTGATGGAATTAATATGTTAATATTCCAAAGCGTAAAACATTTTAAGATGTTTTTTTAGTCACCCTATATATTATTATAGCCATAACAGAGAACAACAATTAGCAATAACTCCAGAAACTCTTAAAAGTATGGCAAAACCTGTTTTTCGGGAAGTGGACGAATCCAGGTTACATAACCACTCATCTCTGACGTTAAAGATAAAGTGGAATGGCACATGTCTTCTAAATTGGAACAAAAGGGCTTGCTAGTTTAAAAACTGTTAGCATAAGTCGCGATGAGATGTGACTTCTTTGGGTGTTCTAAGGACGACAGTCTGCTGCTTTTTAAGCACTTTAAAATAAAATGGACAAATTTCTGCCTTACCAGCTGAAGTCCGAAATGTGCACTGGCAGCATCATCACACAGCATTTGCAGATGGTAAACGAAGTGGCAAGATGTTAGCCCAACATGGGCACTTTTAATGGCCTTTTTCCAATCCACCATGGTCGGTAATAATTGCGAATGTTAGCCTTTTTAACAAAATGCCCCTTCAGATGGCATTTGGAACAACACAAAAGAAGTTTCCTTTGAGGGAGAAAAGTCCAACTCTGTTATGCTTTTATGCTCGCTTTTACCAGTAAAGGGGAGGAGCCTCAAAATGTCATATTTTGGAAAATACCCAAAGGCATTTCTTGATGTGCCTTAAGAATAGCCAAAAATTTTCCCTTTGATACTACAAAGGTCATGGGCTAGTGAGTGGTGAAAGTTTTTGCTGAATTTCTATTTGCAGTTACCTAATTCTTCGGAAGTAGGCCTAAATAAAGAATAGATTCAAGAGAAAAACTAGTTCGAACGAGGTGTGGAAATCACTTAGGTTGGACTACTTAATGAAATACCTAGAAACAATTGAAAATGGTTGCAAGAACTTCAATTGTCAAAGCGTCTCGCGTGGATAGCGCACCGTATTATGTACATCCTCTTCTTGTTCCAGAGCTTACATGCATTAACTCAATGAATTAACACTCTAGTGCCTTTTTCACTGCAGAAGTTTTGACATAAAACAGATCGCTACACCCATAGGTTGATCATGTAGCGCCTTGATACTTCTCTGAGGAAGAAAGAAGACGTAGTGTGGGGCAGAATACTCATTGCCAAAGTGGAGAAGGACTGGGTGGGGAGCTAGTGGCTTAGAAAAAAAGCACAATCGGGAGCCTTAAGTGACCGCGAAATCCAAACGAGAAGCTAAACTAATATTCAATGTGCTGCAAGCGATATTTCATAAAAATATACGATTATACTTAAATTGGTGTAGTATTAATTTAATCCGATCAAGCACCACTTTAGATGGTCCGAGAGTCTTGATGGACCCACCAATTTCTCGTAAAAATTTATACGGGGATAATTTGGATTTGTAAACATCTTCTACCTATAATTTAAGAGTGGATTTGCAAATATTTGATTAGCACCTATTGTGCGAAATAGTGGCGGAGGTGTACCCTCTCCCTATAGTTGCGCTTTATCCAGAAGCGATTTCGATTTTGAAGAGGTAAAATTTAGTTGACTTTTTTGCAATACTTTAAAGTGATCAATTTTGTTTAACATTTTAAAGTCATCGAAATCAAACACTGACGGACCAAGTCTCTGAACACCGCCGTAAGTAATCGTGAATATTAGGCAAATGTGTGACAGAACTTACGCAGTCAAGTTGGAGTCTAGGCTCAGGGTGTGAACAAGACTGCTCAATTCGCCGCATGATAGCAACAAATTGTACAAAAATTGAATAAATGCGAAAATAAAAAATGACCTAATACTCCCACTATTTTTGGTTATTCAATATACCAAAGTTGTAAAAACGGAGGGCATAAATTATACATTTTCATTCAAGCGCTAGTTTGGCCAAGTTATTATTTACCACAACTAGTTATGCACCAATTCTCCTACTTCTCCAAAAGTTATGAAGTTCACTTTTCGTGCTGCCAATTGGCAGCTTTTCGATTCGCTATTAGTCATTGGAAAAGTACCATGGGTGCAAGACTTAATAACTGTTGTGAAAAAGATGATTTGTAATATCCATCAGTTCTTAACTTTAAGCGATTGGTTTTACTCCGCTTTCTTGGATTCTCATCTGTTCTCATCGGCAAAAGTGTGAGAGTGGCAGGTGATTAACCGTGTGCGTTTTCATTTCACACCCAAGTCAAGTTCTTGGTCCTTTAGGGAACAACATGATATTTTGATATGTGGATTCATAGGAAATTACATGATTGAGGAAATATTTGAGTATTTAAGTGCAACACTTATGCTATCCACAAATGAGTAAATAAGGGATTTTATTTACTTGACGACCTGTAAGGTCCCATTCCCACAGACCTGACTGAACTATAATTTGGCGAGCTTCCAAAGTGGGCAAATTGCATAATCACGTGTAAGCTATGCCTCTTTCCCTCCTGTCTAGTGCATAGTGTTAGTTTTTTTCAGCCTCTCTCCTCGACTGCTTCAGCCACTAGGGACGCAAATTTCCCTACCCTTGACTGAGCGAAAATTCTACCCTCACATGTACTTTAAATTAAATCAACGTGGTCCCCAGGGGACAGCGTCTGCCTCCACAAGAATGAAGGCGGAGGATGGAGGCTAAAAGTGACAGTTTAGTGTAGGCAAAAATGCGGAAGGGAGATATCCCACGCCTTATCTATCCAAATGGATATTTCAACAGCTGAAAGAATGCATGCAATTATGGAAGAGGGATATAAGACAAATAAAGAACTACCTTAAATACATTGTCGACTTAAAGGGGGTGATTTGGCAAGATCTGAGTATTGTGTGCGACTTTTAGTCATTTGAATGTTATGTATTTGCCCAAAATGGAGGTAAGTGTCATCACCTCATTCCACCAAAGCAAAAAAATGTGGGTCACATGGCTGATCCATATAGCGAGTGCCAAGGTGACTTTTTGTTTTGACATTTTGATCTAAATAGTGGAGGGCTTACGACCCCCTTTATCTTGCTCCTCCACGTTGACATTTCAAGTCGGAACAAGAGCATCTACCTTGTAGCTTTATATTCTCCGTAGATGTTACGCACATTAAAATTTCTGAAGTCGTTTTGCCTCCACTTCAAAAAGGGTTTATTATACATATATGGTCGTGGTTCTACTTTCAATTATTCCTAAATTAATTCGAGTTTACTCCATTTTCAAACATTTTAACCAAAAATATTTGAATTGATAAGTCGATTTTATTTACTTGTTATTTTTTAACCTGTAACAACGTTCTGGATTATCTCTATGTTGTCTTTATGGAATTAAACTACAAGGTATGTTCCATCTCCTTTGTAAATACAGTGGATGGAAGCCTCTGAACAGAAAAGTTGCATTTGATGACTGTGGGTTTTTTGCCAGAAACAAGCATTGTCAATAATTTCCAAAGTATCAGTTAAGTAATGTAGCTTTCTTCAGATAACTTTTTAGAATCCCTTTGCTCAATTTAACTAAACCAAATGGATTCTTAAAACTACCAAATAAGCTTTTATAATGTGTCACTTGTCCCGCTAGCATAATTGTACTAATGCAGGTCTTTTGACGTTTCACGCATCTGTCTCCGGTTTCAAATACATTGGTTCGTCAAGGATATAATGCCTTATTTGAAAAGATAGCTATGTAGGTAACCAATGTTCCCTTGGAGAATTGAAATTTGTAACCGCTTTTAAGACCGCTGGTTTTGTCTCAGTCACCGAGCTCGTCGAATTTGGTACCTTGCCACCTCAAAGGTGCAGTCGAATTCACGTGTATTACAGTAGGACACGTTAAAAAGTTACTCAGATTTTACCTGATTCAACCTTATAACACAATGAACAGCAAACAGTAGAAAATTAATATAAGGCTAAAAAGAATGCCCCATGAAAGTTGCAAAGGTGGCAATAAAAGGAATGAACGCCACATTAAAAGTGGTCACCACGTGAAGGTTTTATCATTGCATAAAAGTGTTCCAAGTAGATCAAAACTCCCACGTTTTCGATCTGGTGACAAATAGTGAGTCACAAATCACCAACACATAGAAACAACCACATTATAAAGGCCACATCCCATTGGCTGTCATCGGGTTCGAAGGTCACGTTACAGTAGACTAAGCTCCACCAGAAGAAAGGCTAATGTTAAAGGAACATTCTAAAGTGCAGTTCGGGCAGGTTTGGAGACAAGAGGGACTCTAGCATCCACAAAACGATGAAACCCAGTGCTGTCATTAAAAATAAGTTAATTTATTTTCTATATTTTAGTTAAACCATTAACGCAGTTGCATTGCATGACCTGTGGTCGTGTTTTTTGGTTACTAAACATTTAAAATCATGCAATCTGTCAATAATGAGTCATTTTGGCGATACTGAAATAATAATGTACTAGTATTTAGTAGAAATTCATTCATTAAGCACTGACTTGGCAGTAAAATTATGAACACTATGCTCTATTCGATACAAATACTCAGACACTCTTTATTTGGGCCTAATGTATGAAGATCAAGTCATTTAACTTTACTTTGTGAGAATGTGATAGGCTTTTGGTAGGTGTAGTAAGTTCTGACAATCTTTGCCATGTTTGCCAGTACTTGCAAACTCGAAGCGTGTCTATTCTTCTTCCAATTGCCTGCAGGTCTGACATTAAGTCCAAAGTATCACTTCTTTCTGCTGCTGCTGATAGCACAGTGTAGGAGTGATTCTTTGTGGACTTTGCAATTAAATTGCACTATTGTACTGGTAAAAGTCAGCGACATATTTTTCAAGGCCTGTTTAACCTTTAAGCTATCAAAGTATCAACCATGTTATGAGTATTTTCTGTTCAAATTTAGAAAAAGGGTTTTGCTTTATCTGTGGGTAAAAATGACATTTTAAAGTGGTGAGACTTATGTTTTGCAAAAAAACCAACGTGGATGCAGAGACAGACTTCAAATTTGTTCCTTTTATTCCCAAAATAGATTATTAGGCTACCTTTTCCGACATGCTACTCCTCCTGACATAGAAGTAGTACATTTAGCAGCTTAGAATTCAGCAAATTGGATAAAGTTTTGACTCCAGAAAAACGGTGTCACTTTTTATAATTGCTTCTGCACAAACATATGTCAATCTAGTCAAGAAGAGAGGCATTACCAAGACTTGCAGATGCCAACACGATTGAGGTGGAGATGATCATGAAGTAGGTAGGGGGGGGGGGGGGAAAGGGAGTAAGGCAAGCAATCAAGTTGGCAATAAGTATTCAGAGGCAGTAGTTCATTAAAGATCTAAAATGAGGGCGTCTGCACTTTAGAGGGTCACTGCGGTTAAGATGTGTTGGCAGTTCCTCTCCCGGTCAACAAACGTTTGCCCAGACTGTAAAACATTCAAATGAGCTTAAATTTGATGCGTCTGCAGTGGAAATGTAGACAGTTTTAGAGGTGACACACAGCTTTAACGAATTAAATTATGGTAAATGAGGCAAATGGTGTAAAAATTACGAAAATTTCACCATTGCTGAAATGAATTGGCCAATCAACCAATGGCTGGATGCTCATAGTCGATACTCGCAGCTTTTTTATGCGCATATGCATTTCATTATGAAGTGTTTAGTAGTGAGCTCCTCGTAATTTCGGGCGCCGAAAATTTAGTCTGAGGATCTATCTCGATATTCTCAAAATCACTCAAAATTTTGGGCACTTCTCAAAATGTTCGAATAGACAATGTCCTCTAGTTTAACCTCAAATCAACATTGTAAATCAAAAATAACGAGTAAACGTATTGCTTAAACAAGGCTGCAGTAATTTTCCTCAAAGCAAAACAATATAAACGTTAACATTTTAGACTTTTGAAATTGGATTCTTTGATAAAAAGCTGTAAGTTCTAGTTCTATTTGTGATTCTGCAGCGGAGTCAGAGTATCACTGGCACACCTTCTTTGGGGATTTAGCAACTTATCACTTTCTAATTGAAGAAGCATTACCAATGGCATGAAGAAGGATACCCTGACATTTTGGAGGTAGGAGGAAGAAGGCGCTTTTGTTTTTGCTTCCCGGGTGTAACACAAAGCTAAATTTTTTTATATATTTATGATCTTCTTTCCATCTAAAAGCACATCGTACAAGGGGATAGTAGTCGAACATGGAGTACTGCAGCAATCACTAAAAGAGTCAACGAAAAGTTAGACTATATTCTTTGCTCTGAAGTAAGTGCTTGGCTCAAATAAAAGTCCAACGCTTGCTCCTCTTGCCGTACTTTAGATAATGTCATTACACTAAAAAAGCGGAAGATTTTATGCTGCAGCAATGTGATTTGTTCTCCGTCTACAACTTTGTCAAAAAGGAGCTTTCAAATGACATTTGGCAGTCACGTTAACCCTCTGAGAGTAAAATTGGACTTTGTTTTCCTTTTATCATACCTCTGTTTCGTAGATGTGTCCGCCTTCAAACTTTCTTTTTCAGTAAAGTTGCTTTTATGCATATTCATTTAACATTTTCCTATGATAAAACAGCGAGAAGCAAGTTTGTTAACCTACTCTCACTTGTCTCGCAGATACTACTTTTAAACAATTAGTTTCAACAATACAGATTTGAAGGAGAAGCCTTATGGTCATAAAAAACAACTTTGGCCGTTAAGTGCAAGTGTTCGAAATCAGCAAGTGATTAGTTAAATAATTTAAGAAGCTCCCAAAATAAATGACTGAGTTGTTTGGAGAGCCTCACATGGAATTCGAGTTCTGGGATATTCTAGTGTGATGTTATTTGGCTATTTACTGTAGCAGTTTCATTGTATTTGTTTTTTCTATTAATCGTAGTGCTCACTTCAAGTCAAGTAAAGCCAACAGGACAATTTGCGGATGAATTTCGGTTTTAGTATCTGCCTGTTACTTCACAGACTTTTGCAAACACTGATTCTAATGATTAACAAAAAGTGTTTTTGTATTTCTGGCTTGTTTTCAAATTTTCTTTCAAATTTTAGGTAGGTAAGTACTCAAAGTACCTTCATTTCCTCTGTTACCCATCGCTTCTAGATTGAGCTTAAATTTTCCTCCATGTACACATTGCCTACGCCTCTAGCTACTTCAGCTGGCATATTTCACACCAAAATTCAGCATTAGGTGTAGAGAAAAACGAAAAATGTGTCTCTAATTCAAGACCCCAAGACAGGGTGTGATTTATAATTTTACCGATGTGTGAGTTGTTGAGACGGTAACAGATCCGTAAATGGGAAGCTGGCGGAAAGTGGTTTTTGTAACAAAATAGATAAGATAGCCATCCAGCCTTTCAAAAACAAAAAGTAGAAGTCTTTGGTTGACCACATTACTTGCTTAACTCGTGTTTCGGCCCCAATATTTATTCAAGCTGTACAAAGCACCAGTCTGGAAGCTGATACAGTGTTTTAATATACCTAGCGTACGATGGGAATGGCTGAGATGAAGTGGAAACACATGTAGCGCCCCAAGACTCCCCTGAAAATGAAAGAAGAGTTAATACTCGGGCAGAATATGTATTACTGACCTACGGAAGAGCTTGGGGCTACTAACATGGCTCAGAGGACGGGCAGTTCAGTGGAAGTGTGATGGTGGAACTTTAAGTGTTCCATTACCAAATCCTCGAATGAGATAAACAGGTAATGTATTACAACATAAGTAAGCCACTCACCCAATTCCTTTGCTATTGTATGTTTATAAATTAAATGATAAAATTCTGTAATTATTATATCTGCCTGCCTTTTAATACAACTTGCCAAGTTTACTCGGTAAAGTGAGTTTATAAAGCAGTGAATCGAAAGCTTGCGATTCGAGCGTCTTCAGTAGAAAATCTTTCGAGTTTAAGGCTTAAGGTTTTTACAACAAACCTCCCAAAAATATAATTACTTAAGCCAATAGTGTCGTTTGTTTCCGCATAAATAAACGTAACAATCATTTTTTAGTGATTTTGTAAGGAACCGTAAAGCAAAGTGGATTTAAGATATCCTCAGAGCAAAGTTTGATGCAAACTTACCATAGCACTAGAAAATAGTGGCACTAACTGATTCAGCGTTGAATGAAACGCGTGGTAAATGGCGTGAGTTTTCATCTCACCACCAAGACGTTTGTTAGGCTAAACCCTTTAAGCACTGTAATATTTGCTTTTGGAAACAATTCTTTTCAAACGGTCTGAGTGTATTGTCTGTGCTGTGCGCTGCTTTTTGCAAGGCTAAAACGGCCCCTCGCACGAGATTCACGTGCCCCCCTCCAGCAGCCTCCGTCTGGACAGCTGCGAATGCACAGTCGGTCACGTACAAATCCATTGTGTGCGTCCCGTGGATTCACCAATCAGCTCTCGACCTAAAGAGGTTTGTGGGATGGAGGTTCACGCAATGCGGTAAAAGAAATTTGATAATCCAGTCAATGAACGAACAAAGGCCTACCTTGTCTTTGAGAGAGCGTTAGAACACTGTCAGAAAGTGTGTACATGCTTGAGGTTGGAAAAAAAACAACAGGAGGCAATAACAGCTAAACGTTGTACAATCCACAACGCCTATCAATTATAGAATCCATTCTGGTTGCTTAAGCCTATCTTAGTGTCAAGAAAATTGGCAATTATGCCTCCCTGTGTCAATCAAATTTCTTAATCATTGCATAACCATCCAAGATATCTCTGTAGGTGCTGGAAAAATAAGAGTAACTCCTCATTTATGTACAATTTCATTTTTTTTACTTTGATTAATGAATGCCCAAAACAGGTAGTGTATGGTGATCTTGGTCCATTTTTCCCACGAATACCCCAGTAACGCTGAGAGTAACCTTTATTGCCAGTAGTTAAGTCATTTGTAAGGAAATCGTGGGTCATAGTGTCGTGACGATGTGTACAAACCATTGTCTATTTATGATAAAACCTATTTCAAGGGGTTGAATAAACTTTGAGGTGTGCTATCATAGCGAAATCTTTTCGAATTAAGAATGCCCTCCTGAGTCGCTTATTAGTAAATAAGTAGTACTATGCAAATTGGACTGCGGTGGTGAGATTATTCGTAGACCCAGTGAAAAACGTAATATAATAAGGCCGTATAATTAGTTTTATTAAAATTGTGTGATTTAAAATGGGTTGAATATTAATTTACATGTTTGAAATAACCCAACAACTTAAGTAAACGGGTCTGACAATCGCCAAACCTGATATATCACTCACTTGTGTTTGTTTCCTTAAATGAGAAAACTGGTGTTTTTAGTCATGGTGAGAACTTTCTCACACATAAAAATCATCTTACTTTAACATCCTACCTTCCACTTCTCCCAAAGCTTAAGCTTGTGGCGTAATGAAATTACATTTTACAGCGGATCTTTGAGTCCTAAGTGCCGTTAAGAGGGCAGGCAGAATAACCTTTGTGCTTCTCTTTATCGTTGGCATTAATCACATTTTTAGTTGAAGTTTATTTCATTGCATCACAGAAAAACAGTATGGACTGGACGGAGGTCATTAATCACAGTTAAACAGCCTAACTCCAAAGATTTAAGCGACGAGGACTCGCAAATTCAGGGTCGTAATTTAAAATAAGGTTTCTGTCTTAAGTGGCCACTTGTCACCACAATGACAACGAATTGTGTGGTCTGAATGAGCCTTAACAGTCCAAAAATGGGCTTTTAAGATGATCAAGTACCCGCTTGCAATTGAAGCCAACTCGTAGTTACAACCCTGAATGTGTGCATTCGCCTAGTTAAGCAAATTCACTTTTCTGCATTTCATGGAAACGTACTGTTTATTAAAATATCACTGCACTTTATCAGGCCATTTTTGGATAAGGAATCAGAAATGAATTTGTTGTATACATATTATAAAGTGCTATTGGAGACAGCCAAAGCGTAATGAAGCGTGCTCGAATATTTCTCCATTTTAAAAAAATGTGTGGCAGATGGTAAATTTCGTTGCTTTATTGCAAAAGGGTAGATATTTAGTTAGATGTTTTCCACTGTTTTACCATTACAGGGAGAAATCTTCGCCCCTATCGTCCAAACTTAAATTGGACACTTAATCACTTCATGAAAAGGAATCCTCCAAAGTGGGTTCCAACACAGAGAGTCGAGTGATTTCACCTTCTCAACAGCTTTCTTGTGACTTCAGATGCTTTGAGATTGACCATTTTTAGCTATAAACCAGTTGATGGAGATCTGTATCGCTCATACTCAATAGCTATGCGTGTATTTTGCATTACTGGTGAAACGAAAGAGCTTCATGTTTACATCTTTCACGTGTAAATCCTTCTTTATTGTTCACATTGCAAAAACAGTTTTATACTAGCAAAAAATGTGTGTGTTATTACTCAAAAGAAAGAGTAAAGAGAAAAAGGCATATAGAAGGCAAAATTTTCTTGGAAATTTGTCAATTGCTTGATGGAATCAAAAGGAAACATTCGAGGTGCGATTAGTGTCAGTGCTTGTGACACAAGAGCATATTTTGACTGTAGGCTGCTTGATGATTCATCAAGAACATAGTTATTGCTGCTAACCTCTATTTAAGAGATATCAGGAGATCTACTGCGGTTAAGCTGTTGTTCAACAATGACTCACCGTCGTCTTGTTCCACCGTAGTCGACTGTGTGCGCGTGCACGTGAACGTGCGTGTAAGAACCAAATCCACCACCATGAGTAAGCGACACCAACCGAGGGGTTTGCTTAAACCTAAAGCCATTAAAAGGCAAGGTGACTAAGCTCAGTTACACGGGATTTGATCAATTTACTGCGCCAAATGGCAGAGTTGACTTTACAGTCACGCGGTCTCACGAGACTCGCAGGTGCCTTCAGAATGCGCACACGGGGAAGGAGAGCTAGGATTTATTAAAAATCTAGATGCAACAAACAAAATATCACTTCACAGACTAGTGCTCAACTCACTCCTGGTAGCCAAGACGAGACCGTTCTATCCATTTGAACCCTGAAAAATGCGTAATTTGTAGGGCTTTGGGAGATGACCATCCTAATTGAATTCCTTTAAATCGGTCATACAGAGGGTGACTTTGAGGGTTGACCTCAGCAAAATTTACAAGAGGCCAAATTTAATTGCACTGCGAGATTAATCAGGCTAACTTATAATCATTTAATGAATCTACTTTTTATGTATTTCAAGTGGAATACACTCTTTATAAACCTCACATCAAACAATCTCGCTACTAATATTTTAAAGAGTCTCTGACGCGTGAGGATGTAAAGAAGGCAAACATGACACCAGTATTGGTACCGAAGTGTCTCTAGTTAATATCAGACATGGGATGTTTCTAATCTGAATTATATGATAAGCATCACATTTTTTACACAATTTTCCACATTTTTACTTGAGGGGAAATAATGAATTCTTTTACTGATAAAGACCTATTCAGCACTACTTATTGTCAGTAAAAGTCCACGGATTTTAGGAATACAGTTTTATAACACACTGCTAGGCCCTGTTTTCCTTCTGATCTAGCGTAAGTGATTTACACCGCTTTCGACTGCTGTCTAAATGCCAACACATCTCACTCTGCCTAGCTAGAGATTTATAGCTGCCTTCTGCAAAATGCAAATCACTGTTCATTGTTTTCACGAGGAAGTCGTATTTTTTCGCAAAGAAAGCACACCCACTTGTCAAGCTGGGAAGAAAATACTTTTTGAAAAGAGGGATAACCAGGCAATAGAGAGATTGCGGTAAGAAAGATGTGCTGTGCCAGTTAATAAATGCCTTGCTACGGTATCGGAAGAAACTAGAGTAACTTAAATCACAAAAGATATTTTCTTCCTTAAGCTATGCTATTCATGACTACAAGATGTACACATCCTTAGATCAAGCATATTCTGCATCTTTTTAGTGGTTAAAATCCTGATACTTAGCTTGAGATGCAACTAGTATGTGCGTCACACATTTGTGACGCTATACTCAGATTAGGTGTCCAATAAATCTCGATATTCAAGCAAAATTTCTTTAATAGCATAGGCTAATTTGAGTTTGCTTCACTTTTTTATATGAGCAGAGAAGTTATCACTCCATGTATAAGCTTTACATTCAAATATAACTTTTAATCCCTCACATACCCAATTCCGGGGATTGAGGTAAAAACAGGCCTTCGGTAATTTTTACATAAATTTTTGCCTTATTTTTAAAACAAAACCGTCTACGTGAAGTACAGCAGATTATATCATGTGCTGTGGATAAATTGAAACACAACTTATTTTTATACTTCGAAATTATGACAGCTTTCTTTAAATGGGCCTGTTTTGCAGCCTAGGTAAATTGATTGAGTGGTCCACCAGCCCAATTTTCAGCAAGCCTTGTACGAGTGCTCGAGAGTGACAACAAGGTGACAGTGGCATAAAAAGTCTGGGTGATTGGACGTTTGACAGGCCACCAGGTGTGGTAGTGTTTGCTACGTAGTTGTCACATGCGAAATTTGAGAACCAAGATGCAACACGCTAGAACTCGAGTTACTGCTACGGTGATTGTAGGATGAAGGTGTAGTGTGAAATACAAACGAATGATGAATGGGAGTTAAATCGTGCAACTCGTAGAGATTTGTGGCAGCTCAAATGAGCCCGGGATTTTCGCGTTTCCAAAACTCAGAAGGAATGATCCAATTTGAAGGATCGAAAATGTAGGCGATTGCTTGATACAGTCCCTTGCTACACATATCGGTATTTTTGGCTAGTAATTGGACAGGTTTAGTACAAAAAGGTTTGTAGGTCTAGCTGAACTCTCTTAAGGCTGCTTATAATATGGTATCTATCATGCACTAGCTTTTCAATGTTCTTAAATCTTTTGCATAATTATGTTCATTGATTCTATGACGAGATCCGTCTTCTGTTCAAGTTAATGGCCGATTATACGTCTGACTGCCTTGGCTACCGCACCCGGGCACTTCAGCAACGGCTGAGGCCTTAATTACCGTATTATGTCTGAAGTCTGTGTGGATATCTGAG